ATATGTCAGAATATATGCCAGAAGATATGTCAGATAGAATGCCAGAAGATATGTCAGAATATATGCCAGAAGATATGCCAGATTGAATGCCAGAAGATATGTCAGATAGAGTGCCAGAAGATATGCCAGATAGAATGCCAGAAGATTTGCCAGATAGAATGCCAGAAGATATGCCAGAAGATATGCCAGATCATATGCCAGAAGATACGCCAGATAGAATGCCAAATAGAATGTCAGAAGATATGTCAGATAGAATGCCAGAAGATTTGCCAGTAAGAAAATGTAGAAATGTCATGGTGGGGATGACACGAAGTAAAGTAATTTTTTCTCCATTGCCAGCTTTGTTTTCCAGAGTCTAGCCACAGAAAAAAAATATAGTGCTGTGCGCATGACGTACTGTCAAATCTTGGCAAGTTTTAGGAGAAGACCCCACCTTCGTTTGATTCCCCACACCAAAGGGTTTCGCTGCCCTTGAAAGCAAGGAACACTTTGTCAACGTCCCGGTTGGTGAACCCAAGTTTGGTATTGTTTTTGGCTCCTACTCCTTTGATCGCCGAAAACGCATCGATGTTTCGGTCCCCATTTCTGAGAAACTACCATGGTTGATGCACATGTTTTTTGATCACAGGGAATGACTGAGTTCCTGTGCATCATGTTAGGCAACATTTGAGTCAAACTTGCCCTGAGCATGAGCTAGATTCCTTTTTCTTAGATTTAGAGGTGCTGTGAATTCAATGGTTGTACATTGTACATGTTTTTGTTTTTTTGTGGGGCGGGAGTGCGTGAACTTTGGCAAATGTCCGGCGCGCTACAATCTACGTGGATTCATCATCAACTGACAAAGGTGCAGCAGATAAAACTGATGAGGTCTATCTTGAGGTGCTTTGCTTGACTGGAGAAGGAGTGACATTAAGCGTCCCCCGCTCTATTCTTGGGTATGACCTGCGCAGGTTGGTGTCAGAGAAGCTTCCATGGAAGCCAGGCGCAAAGCTCGCCATGCTTCACGAGAATCGAAAGCTCAACCTCGATCAAACCTTGAGAGAGCAAGGGATTGTTGAGAAATCGGCAGTGCTGTCTTGCACTTATATGCCAACAATTTTGTATACAGCATGGCGTTATGTCTCTGAGCTCCTCACTTGTGAGAGAGAGTTTGCGCTGGAAGGCGTTTTCAGGGAGCAGAGCCTGGAGAGTATTTACATCATTTGCCCTGCAGCCTTGCAACATTGCGTTTTGGCCGCGAATTCACCAAAGCTTACAGCAGGTGTCCTTACCACCGAGTCTTCAGACCTTGAGTTTTGACCACAATCTCAACCAAAGCCTGGAGCAGGTGTCCTTGCCATCGAGTCTTCAAAGCTTGAGTTTTGGCCTTTGGTTCGACCAAAGCCTGGAGCGAATGACCTTGCCATCGAGTCTTCAAAGCTTGAGTTTTGGCGATTGCTTCAACCAAAGCCTGGAGTGGATGTCCTTGCCATCGAGTCGTCAGAACCTGAGTTTTGGCCTTGATTTCAACAAGAGCCTGGAGCGGGTGTCCTTGCCATCGAGTCTTCAAAGCTTGAGTTTTGGCCTTTGGTTCGACCAAAGCCTGGAGCGAATGACCTTGCCATCGAGTCTTCAAAGCTTGAGTTTTGGCGATTGCTTCAACCAAAGCCTGGAGTGGATGTCCTTGCCATCGAGTCGTCAGAACCTGAGTTTTGGCCTTGATTTCAACAAGAGCCTGGAGCGGGTGTCCTTGCCATCGAGTCTTCAAAGCTTGAGTTTTGGCCTTTGGTTCGACCAAAGCCTGGAGCGAATGACCTTGCCATCGAGTCTTCAAAGCTTGAGTTTTGGCGATTGCTTCAACCAAAGCCTGGAGTGGATGTCCTTGCCATCGAGTCGTCAGAACCTGAGTTTTGGCCTTGATTTCAACAAGAGCCTGGAGCGGGTGTCCTTGCCACCAAGTCTTCGGACGTTGATTGTTGATTGCAATTTCATCCAAAGCCTGGAGCGTGTGACGGTGCCATCGAGTCTTGAAATCTTCATCGTTGATCAGCGTTGGATTTTCACCAATCGGGATCTTTGTTAGTTCTGCAAGCTGTGCGCAGTTTGCTTGTCACGTTTCCTAAGAACTTCGAACAGAAACCTGGGCAAAAAAGGCTTGCCATCCGAGGGACGTGTGAGGCAACCTCGGGTGCTTGCGGCGACCCGACCCATTGAAGGGGAGAGTTGGACTTCTGACCTTGCAACGGCCCCTTTGTTGCTGGTCAAAATCCCCATGATGGTCAATGGCTCTGCAGTATACCCTCCGGAAATCAAACATGGCACTGGATCATCCCTTAATTATGCGTCATGGATGATTTGTTCATTTAAATGATATTAACTGTACATTCCTGGGGGGTTCCAGGGTTGATAACTTATCAGAGGGTACATGATGATTGCGGTAGGGAGTGGTGAGCTGAGCCCGGGGCATCTATATTCCCAACCAGAAAAACATGGGGAGCCACTTGGAGCTGCGAATGGAGTTTCCCAACCACATCATAGTTCTCATGCAGAAAATATGTTTCCCAACGTTGCAGTTTTTTTTTGAACATTTGGTTCCCATTGATTGATCGCATAATAAACTAGAATATGACAGTGATGTGGATGTGATTGAACTAGACAAGAAAAGGGTTGCAATTCTGTCACCTACGCACCTGAGTTTCAAATCGCACTGATTTCTTGTAGACTTGGTAGGAAAGTGTCCAGCGACCAACTTTAATCTAGGGATAACCAAAACATAACCAAAACCATGGAGACGTTGGGTTGTGGAATGGGGCGCCAGGTGCAGTTCGTTCAGAAGGAGTACCAGGTCCTCAAGGAGGAGCTGGCACAGCGGGAGACCCGGAGCAATGTGGTAGCCTCCGGCAATCAAACATGGCAATGGAAAATCATGGAAAATCAATGAAAACCCACTATATTTGTAGATGATTTTCCCAGTTTTTCACCTCCACTTAGTTCGGGGATTTCCGATTGTTATGTTTGATTATTGTAGGATAAAGCCAACAATAAACCATCCATCACTTCGGGTTTATAGCCGATTATTATGACAAATACAGATACAATCAAATACACCTAAAATACGTTCGTGATAACCAACCATCCCAGTGACCAATATCATGATTTGAGAATTCAATAAGCATATAACATATCCTTGCCATTCATTACTTGCATCCGTACACATTTGTGCACCAATAAAAACATAAAAAAAACATAATCACATGTAGATATGACTTTACGTAATGTGGTAAATCCAATGCCACAAACCATCCCAGTAACCAACCGTTTTGGGGGCTAGCTCAGTTGATTTATCGCAGTGATCTAGGCAAACTGGGGTCTATGATAGACATATCGAACTAGTTCATGTTGTTTATAACAGGAATCAAGTTGTTCACTCAAAACAGAAGCGTTTCTAGCAGATGATTGGTCTTTTTTTTTCCCTTTCCTGTTGTATCCCCAGTACATATCCCCTCTATACCACCACTTTTGTTGGTGAAGTCACCATTTTTCTCAGTGTTTTCTCACAGTTTCCCATGGTTTCCCATGGTTTCCCAACAGCCAGTGCCTCCATGGACGGGAAGCCGAGGCTGGACCAAGACCTCGGCGCGCAACGGGATTTGGTGACTAAGACCAAGCACGAGCGCGACGAGCACAGGTTGGAGGGGGGACGGGCGCTTTTTGGGGCCTGGAAAAAGCGTGGAAAAATATAGGGGGGCCCTCCAAAATGGAGATTTCACAACCAAAATGGAGATTTCATCAACCACAATTTTCCAAAAATGGAAATTTCACCGGTTCACCTGGGATTTCATAAACCAAAATGGAGATTTCACATTGTGACATGACTTCACCCGCCAACATTAGGATTTCACTGGCCAAATGTGGAGAACTGTCAGTCCGACAAACATTGGGATGCAAATGATCCCTGCTAGTCAATTGTTAGTGACTTGAGTGATAGCTATATAGATCCTGAAAATAGCGGATAGTGAAGGTTAGTAGGCCTTTAACCTCGCCAAAAGTGATGATCCCAGTTTTGACATATGGTGGGTGAAACCCAAGCAATCCCAAGTAGCTGCCCATTTGTAGCTAAGGAATGCCCAGGAAAAAGGTGATGTTTGGGGTGAAATTCGACTGGGATATCGGATATTGACACTGCAGGCAAGAGTATGCCTCTCTGAAGCAGCAGACGGGCATCATGAACTCGGAGCATTTGACCAAAGACTTCAAGGCGACGATTTAGGGAGATTTTCTGGCAAGGAGGTTGCTGGATGGGAAGGGGTGAGCAATTGGGTAAAAATGGGCAGAAAAATGACTACTGAAATCATTGGTCGGTGGTAAGTCACCGCATTTGCCGTAGGAGGGGTGCAGCATATTGTTCAGTCAGTTGCGATGTTGTCCAGTTGCCATGTCAATTTTCCGCATGGGAGACCAGCCACCTGTCACTGTAGATAAGCAACATTAACCAACCCGAAGGAAATCAAATGAACCTTCAGAAGTTCTTGAAAGACCTTCAGCAGCCCCACCATGCCCTTTGATATAAGTGGTGCAATCCTTTTTTATGACTGCATTATGCCGCTAACATTTATTAGGTCCCAGAGCGACCTCATTTGTTCCAGGCCGCACACGGCAGCATTTTGACTTTGTGAAATCGCAACATGCTTGCACAGCCCGAGTTTGATGACATGAGACACGCTTGAGGCGAAATGCATAGCCAGTTCAAGATTCAAGAGCACATCGAAAGACCTGACCCCTGATTTTTGTGAATCAAAGTTTTGCAGAATCTAGTGCCTAACTTTTTAAGCAAACGAAGATCAAGCCCTCACAAGCACAACTCTGTCAAAGTCAGCTTTCTTTACCTAGATATCTTATAGATATTATAGGTATGCTTGCCATAGAATGTAGTTAGCTGATTTGTACGCCAGCTTAGCTACGGATGGGGGGCACCGCTAAGTTGCAGCAACTTGGAACACCTTGCCGCCATTGCTCATGCTGCTGCCATGGTCCAGCGCTGGTCATCAGTGGCGATGGACAGAACAGCATCGAATCCATAAAGGACTGGCGAAGGGGAACCAACAGGATCCAACAGGAACATAGAAACTGGCTGCCAACGCTTGAGAACAGCATGGTAGTTTTACGCATGGGTAGGGGTCAGATTTAAGACCCAGAGAACCACAGATTTGCAAATCATCCCACGTTTGGGGTTCTGCATTTTATTTAAACATTATTTAGCCCCAAATCCACCAATATACGTACACGTCAGATTTTCCATGATTTTCCTTCCTACTTCGGTCCTCCCCATTGCTATGCTTCATACCCGAGGGTAGTTACATGGGCCATGGTAAGAACGTGATTCCTGGTTAGTAACTGCCTAAAATGACTTCCATATCTAAATGAGAACTCATTGACTAACTAATGAACTAACTCCATCTAACTCCATGGCCCATCTAAGTAGTGGCTCTTTTTTGAAGCTGTATTTGGGGTCATGTCCTCCTGACGACGCAACGTTGGAAAGATTCGGAGGTCAAAATCAAGGCATCCAAGTTGTTGGGCCAAAGTGAACCATACCATTTACCCTTTGGTTATTTAACATAGCAATGGGAAATGGTCCATTTATAACTGGTTTACCTACTAAAAATAGTGTTTTTCCATGGCTATGTTAAATAACCAGATGGTAGGTATTGGTACAAGGTGGGGCCCCCAAACCTTAGCGAAGCTGGTTTAGTTTACCATAGGTGAACTATATAATTCCCCACCTGCCAGGTGAGGGTTGTTAGATTTTATGTCAGTTGCCTCCTCCTGCCTCGTCCTCCTCCTCCTCCTCCTCCTCCTCTCCTCCTCGTCCTCCTCGTCCTCCTTGTCATCCTTGTCGTCCTTGTCGTCCTCGTCGTCCTCGTCGTCCTCGTCGTCCTCGTCGTCCTCTTCGTCCTCGTCCAACTGCGACCCGCGATCCACAGTGTTCTCTGCCGGACCTCAACCACGACCATCCACGCCCAGTGTTCCCTGCCGGACCTCAACCACGACCATCCACGCCCAGTGTTCCCTGCCGGACCTCAACCACGAGTATCCCCGCCCAGTGTTCCCTGCCGGACCTCAACCGCGAGTATCCACGCCAAGTGTTCCCTGCCGGACCTCATGTAGGAAGATATGGGACAAGAATGTGCAGAAGAAAGTTAGAAAGAATGTCAGAAAGAATGTCAGAAGATATGCCAGAAGATATGCCAGATAGAATGCCAAATAGAATGCCAGATAGAATGCCAGATAGAATGCCAGAAGATATGTCAGAATATATGCCAGAAGATATGAATGCCAGATATGCCAGAAGATATGCCAGAATGCCAGATATGAAGAGATAATGCCAGAAGATATGCCAGAAGATAGCCAGATTGAATGCCAGAAGATATGCCAGCCAGAAGATAGAATGCCAGAAGATTTGCCAGATAGAATGCCAGAAGATATGCCAGAAGATATGACAGATCATATGCCAGAAGATATGCCAGATAGAATGCCAAATAGAATGTCAGAAGATATGTCAGATAGAATGCCAGAAGATTTGCCAGTAAGAAAATGTATAAATGTCATGGTGGGGATCACACGAAGTAAAGTAATTATTTTTTACATAATGAAGTCATTGGGGCTTGTAAGCCAACTTCTCACGGGCGAGGCCCAGAAGGCATCTCTCATGCATTCTGATGGTTCTATCTCCATTCTGGGGACTGCAATTCTCCCTTTTCCAGCCACAACAAGGCCATTTGAGATTCACTATATCACTACTCTGGATGCTACATCCCCGTGCAATGATATATTCAACATTTCCCCCTGTGTGATGATTGTACCCCTCTGAATTCACCAAATTTTATCCCCACGTTTGATGGTTGAATCGCCTTCTTCGATGCTGAAATCCACATGTTGCATGATCTCTCTGATTGTAAAATCTCAAGTTGTTCCACACCATTCAATCACTATTTCAGATGGTTAAAATCCACTGTCAAAATCACGATTTCATGGTATAAACTCCCAGTTTCCCATGAGGAGCTGATGCTCGTCGTTTCCATCGCCTCCAGCGCTCCTTCTTCGCTGGTCTCCCGGCGCTCGGCGCTTGCCACGGCGGCGGCGCTCGGTTTCGGAGGCGCCAATGTGCCAGAGGTCCCGCGGCGATGCCGGGTTAAAAAAAATGGGAACATATACATGGGACGTATATTTACATCTATCTATTTGTATATCTATATATATATATGGTGGTATAATGATGTATAATGTGGGTAAAACAAGAATATATCACCTATTTATGGTGATTTGGGGGGTGGTTTATTCTTGTTTTACCCACATTAATGATGTATGTATAGTATATACTGTATAATATGGAGTTGGTAGTTTATATGATTGATGGTTGAATAGGGATAATCATGGGATGACCTGATAACTCACTGATTTTACAGGATTTCATGAGTGTTTGATGTGGACATATTATAGTATCATATAACTTATGATATGTCAAGTGCTTCGGACATATAATATTGGTATTACTGTAAATGTGCATATAACCTGGGAAATAAACATGTAACACATACTATACATGTAAGTTGGGACATATGTTCAAAAACATATTTATCACAATGTCAATATATGGGTTCATGATGTGTGTAAGTATATGAGATATGAAACACATACATCTATAGATAAAGTATAATATAGCTGGCATGAGTTTCCGCTATATGGAACATATCGACTTGTAAATAAATTGGTCATATCTACATTAATAGATAGGCTAGACGCGGAATGAATCGAAACATGTGGGCAATAATACAGTATAGATAGAGGTTTACACTATAGATAATATATACTGATACAATAGTATCTATTTCCCAACTGTACTGTATATAAATATATATATGTACTACATATAATTTGGGCAGAACACATCGGCAATATGATGTTTGAACAATCATACGCTATACGGATACTGTATATGGAAAGTACGCATGCCACATAACTTTTGCAATCCCAATCCGCCCAAATTCCATTTGCCTAAGTTAGCTGAGATTCATTTGATTGGTTTAAGATGTTTAAGGGAAATTGGCAGGAACCCCATAGTGGTGAAACTATGGAAAACCCAGAGTCTCCTCAAGATGTTCCTTGAAAAATCCTCCCATTGTCTGTCATTGATCCCAAGTCCAAGACTTGGCTGAAGGGAAAATCTCTGGGAAAAAAAACATGTTTCCTGCAGCTTTCCCAACCAATTCACGGAAGTTCTTTCGAAAATTCTTCCATTATTACTGGGTCGCCATTGCCACGTCAGGCAGTTGTTTGCGGTCTGGTGACGTCGTGGAGGTGAACTGGGACGATGTTTGGTGGCCCTGCGACGTGCTGCAGGCGCACATGGACAGCTGCACGGTGAAGTACCACGACGGCGGGGACGTGGAGGATACCGTGGAAGTGGCTGAGAGGGTGCGCAGGCCTCAGAAGCGATACGATGCTTGGCTGAACTTGGGCAAATGGTGGGACAATCTCCAGAAAGTCTATGGATTTACCATGATTTACCAACCAAACTTGGGGGTTTCCTACCAGAAACATCTTCGATCTGGGTTTATATACTTAACTTCTGGATGGTCCGATGGTCCTGCCAAAATCTTGGGATTTAAAGCCAGAATCTTGGGATTGATCCCAAAAAACATCCACTTGGTCCGCCATATTAGCAAACCTTACCCCATTTGGGGGTTCATCATTGGGTTAACCCACATCGGAAGTTACTTGGATCCATACTAAGATGGGATGCCATGGAGATACAACTGATATGCTAATCCCTTCCACCTTATAAATATCCCCCATAGGCCTTGGTTTAGTATGGTTTAGTACTGAACCTATTCATGTTGGGGTCCCATAGTGCATTTTGTGGATTATAAAAACTTAGAGGGATGGGATTGGTTGATCATTCATGCTTTTACATATGCCCATTATATATAGATCCCAATGTGATCCCAAGTACATCTCATAACATCCAACCATTGTTGATGGTAAATCCAAATTGTTGATGGTTAATCTCAACGTTTTCTGTTATTTTTCCATAGTCATTCCTATATATGACATTACCATCAAACCTCCAGTCTCGGGGACTGTCTCATCCTTAAATCCCATTAAGTCCCTATTATGGTGGTTAAGCCATGTTAAACCCATTGAAATCCCGTGAAATCCCATCAACCAACCCAGTGTGCCTGAGGTGGAGCGTGACTCGGTGGTGGAGGTTTTGTGCGAGGGCCTCTGGTGTCGCGGGCGTGTGCGAAGCGTGGAGGAGAACAGCTGTGCCATCGACTTTTTCGATGGTCACCTGGATCTTCCCTCGGGAGCGCAACGGGGTAAGTTGGCGTTTGTGGTTGGTGAAAGCATGTAAACGCTGACCATGTGGTAATTTGGTTGATTAAGTTTAGAATAATTTCGACATTTGATAACTGGTTATATAATTGTGACAGTTAATGTGATGAGACCCCCTACCATCCATGGGTGCTGACCTCTATGCACCTCATTTTTCTGGTAGATTTATGGGCAGTTTTGGAAATTACTTTACTTCGTGTGATCCCGACCATGACATTTATACATTTTCTTACTGGCAAATCTTCTGGCATTCTATCTGACATATCTTTTGACATTCTATTTGCCATTCTATCTGGCATATCTTCTGGCATATCTTCTGGCATTCTATCTGGCATATCTTCTGGCATTCTATCTGGCATATCTTCTGGCATTCTATCTGACATATCTTCTGGCATTCAATCTAGCATTCTATCTGGCATATCTTCTGGCATTCTATCTGACATATCTTCTGGCATATATTCTGACATATTTTCTGGCATATCTTCTGGCATATCTTCTGGCATATCTTCTGGCATATCTATCTGGCATATCTTCTGGCATATCTGGCATCTTATCTTCTGGCATTTTATCTGGCATTCTATCTGGCATATCTTCTGGCATATATTCTGACATATCTTCTGGCATTCTATCTGGCATTCTATCTGGCATTCTATCTGGCATATCTTCTGGAATATCTTCTGGCATATCTATCTGGCATATCTTCTGGCATTTTTCTGACATTCTTTCTGGCAAATCTTCTGGCACTCTATCTGACATTTTATCTTCCTACATGAGGTCCGGCAGGGAACACTTGGCGTGGATACTCGCGGTTGAGGTCCGGCAGGGAACACTGGGCGTGGATGGTCGTGGTTGAGGTCCGGCAGGGAACACTGGGCGGGGATGGTCGTGGTTGAGGTCCGGCAGGGAACACTGGGCGTGGATGGTCGTGGTTGAGGTCCGGCAGGGAACACTGGGCGTGGATGGTCGTGGTTGAGGTCCGGCAGGGAACACTGGGCGTGGATGGTCGTGGTTGAGGTCCGGCAGGGAACACTGGGCGTGGATGGTCGTGGTTGAGGTCCGGCAGGGCACACTGGGCGTGGATGGTCGTGGTTGAAGTCCGGCAGGGAGCAGGAGGAGAGGAGACGAGGAGAGGAGAGGAGAAGAGAGGAGAGGAGGAGGAGGAGGAGAAGGAGGAGGAGAGGAGGAGGAGGAGGAGGACGAGGCAGGAGGAGGCAACTGACATAAAATCTAACAACCCTCACCTGGCAGGTGGGGAAAAAATAGCTCTTCCCTGTGGGTGTCCTAAAAGTCCAGTATCGGTGAATACCAAATATCCATAAATATCCCTTCATCCCTGGGTCCCTTCGGTACGGGTCATCACTTTCCCCAGGTGAAACTCGTGAGGCTGTGCCCCTCTGCGAGCTTCGCGCGCCACGAAGCGACGTTGTGGGCCGTTTCATGGAGGCGGAGGTGAGTCCGCATGACTGGCGCGAGTGCGAGGTCTTGGAAGCTGCAGGCGCCACGTTGTGCAGCCGCGTAGCCATGGCGGGTGTTGGATGGGATGCACATCCAAAAAGGAAATCATGACAAGCGGTTCCAGAATGGTGAAGATATTTCCCACTTACCAACCAACTACATACTAGGTTCATTTCAGTCTGAAACTGGGTAGCTACCCCTACTGTTCCCTTGGATTATGATATTTATTCCAGGTTGAAATAACAAGTTGACAACCGAAACAATGAATGTCGCCAAACCAATAGAACGGGTAATAATATATATATATATAGAAAGGAAAACAATCAGTTTCATGGCCAAACCTAATCAGTTTCTATGGCTATAGCCTCGATTGCAGTTTAACCAGATCATTGCGCAGGCCTGGCACTGGACCAATGGTGTTAGATTGTGAACTGGGAATATATAATATGTAATTTTCGCAAGTTAGATCTCAGTTGTACCCTCATCTGCAAGTGGTGGTTTGTCCATTGCTAGGTTTGATTACCAGAAGGATCCATTAATATCGTATGATCATCCGGAAAAAAAAACAACCATGCAAACCATTGAGCTAGCATTAAACTGCATGAAGCGACCATTTCGGAAGTTTACCATCTGTTTTGCAAGCGACCCAACGATGAAAACAGCAGGGTTTTCTGACCGTATTTGGAAGCGCTGAAATGGTGCTCCAAACTGGCACCGGCCCAAAATGGTAGCGGGCTGCTGTGGAAGCCATGGCCCAATATACGATTTACATTTTAAAATATATTTCAATATACTCTTTGGTGTTGTTTTTTTTTGGGTCTCTATAGCCATCTTAGGTTAGCGAAAGGTATATTCGATGATATTCTTCATGATTTTGACATCGGCAAACCAAAACGCAAGACACGCAAGCAGAGGCTCAGGTGTCTGTTGTGCATCCGCCTTCAACACCTGGGAACTGAACCTAGTCATTTTGGGAGCTATGGCGAGGATTTGTGCAAAGGGAATAGGATTGTTAGATTCTCCCCGTTCTGGGAATATATTTGTCCATTCTCACCTTATAACTACAAATGATATCCCATTATACCAGCATTTTCGATGGTTAACTCACCTAAAAATTTCCATTTTGGATGGCTAAGCATCACACGAAATCCGCTTCGGGGAACTCTGTGGCGGCGCCAGGTGGACGGTTTCAGGTGCGTTTCCTGGATGGTGAAGAGCGAGAGGTCACCAAAGTTCGTGAATCTCCGGTGCCCTGAATCAATTATATATACCCTCCGGCTATTTGACATATATGGCATATATGGCAAATGGTCCATTGGTATAAGGGATTTATGATGATTTACCGTTCTCGAAAATGGTGATTTTCCGTAGCTACGTTAAATAACCAAACGGTACTCTTGGAGTTGTTTGTGATTTTATAGTTTATATTAGCCATTAAAAACCATTAGAAAACCATTGTAAATAAGCGCGGTAGATAACCATTGTATATAACCTTTGCTCACCTCATTATCCTAGATTTGTTCAAGATGGTGATTTTGCGTGCTGTCCCAAAATCCGGACACTAAATGGTGGTTTAGTTTGGGATAATCAACTGTAATCTTGGATTTGCGGTTTGTCATTGATTTTTCTCTCGGAAATCCACCAATTGGGGATCCAAGGTGCCCGTCTACATGCGCCCTGGCTTGGCAGTTGAGGTACCTTTATGGGAGCATGGTGAGATGGAACCCTTTTTTGGGATACAAGGCACGCCTTGTTTTGCCATGTTTTACCGGTCTCCTCTGGTGTTGTGTTCCTCCGTTTTACTGGGATGAGGATCCCCATTGACGGTCATATACCATTCTACTCCATTCATTCCCATCATGATATTCTAGCAGATATTCCGCCAGATATCACTCCCATGATATCCCCAAATTCTGTCCATTCATATCCCCAAATGAATCACCATTCTTGTTCGTTCCCATATTTGTCATTCTCACTTGGACCAGGGATGCCGCAGAGGATCCATCCCATGAGGCTCTATGTTGGTCAGGGCTGTCAGGGGCTGGTCACCCGCATCGAAGACGACGGCGAAGTGCTCTGCGACATCGGCGCGGAAGAGGTTGCACGGATCCCTGCGCGCCTTCTGGGGCAAGGGGCGGCGATGCGCGACTTGACATGGAAGACATCGTGGGTGATCCACTTAGGATACCATATTAGGAATGATTATGCGGGATATGATCCAACAATATCCAACACACCAACTGCAAAAACAATCTATTCAATCTATGAATAGTGAACTTATCAAGAGGAGGGAACAGTAGAAGCAACTCTACAGCCACCAAGAGGTGGGGCCCAACAGCGGGCCTTCCATTTTTCCAAGTAGTCGTGAGGAAGACACTAATCTCGAACCTATCAATCCCATCTCTCACAATGACAACATCCAAAACAAGTTCAAATGCATATACTGTATCCGAAAACCTAAAAGAACAGGTTTTGGGGATCCTTCATTTGCGTCATTAGGGGAAGAGCTCATACATGCTTATACTACATACTCAAGAGATCACGAAATCCACTATGTTTCCGGATTTATCATTGTTCAAGTCATATATAAACCATTTTAAACTTTACATAGCCCATATATGTTAAGCAAGCATAGATGATACAAGACTACACTTAGTTTCATAGATTCAGTTTATTCGGGTTTAGGACGTCTCTTACGGCATCCGCGGATGCTGCAGTGATCTTGTTGTGCACGTAGATTCTCCATGATTCACCACCCAAAAAATATCAACAAATGCCTCCAAGCTTCCACTATATCATACTATATCCATCAAAGTTCATCAATGTCTTAGACATGAAGAAAACTCATGTTAACATCATTTTCATTATCCCAATATTATGATTATTATGGTTTTTCACCGGGATTCCATCAGGCATCCGACCCATTGATATTCATGCCCAGGTGAAGACATTGACCTGGGTCAAGTCCTGGACCTTTGGATCTTGGGCGTGGACCCCTCGCGGCGCCGGATTCTGGTGACCCCCCGCGGCCTCGGTGCCGCGACGACGGCGACGAGCAGCGCAGAGAACTCCGAACGCAAGAGGCGCTTCTGCGACTTGGTTCCAAAGATCCCAACATGTTTGGTTTGTATGATCCAAAAATAGCCAAAATATATGGGAAGAATGGGTTTTGATCCATCCCCATATGGAGAGAGAGAGAGAGATATATATATATATACTCCCTTTACTAGAGATGGGCTTCTCCCAATGATTTTGGGAGAGGTGCTGGCTAACTCTATGGGCAAAAGCAACATTTTAAGAGAAGTAAGTGGACAACTCTACAGCCAAAGACCACTCTTTCAGTGACCATCCTGACATGCCACAAAATGGCAAAAACCGAAGAAACACCAATGTTTTTCAAAAATCTGCCAGAAAGATTGAGTTTCTAGCCTAGCCGAAATTGCACTGGCTAGGAAAGCACATTTTTGTCCTGTCTGGAAGGGATGCACAGTTAGTTTCACCACGTGCTAGCTAGTAGAGTTGTCCCTTTTCGTCTGTTTGTTGCTTTGGTGCCCCTGATGTGCTATATAAATGGAGTTGTCCTTTTCGTGGCTATTGTTTTCTGCGAGTTTCTGCAATGTTTGGTCGGTCCGGAAGGAACGCACAGTTGGTTTCACCAAGTGCTAGATAGAGTTGTGCCGTTTTGTCTGTGGCTGTGGTGCATCTGTTCTGATAGAGTTGTCCTTTTCGCGGCTTTCGTTTACTCTGAATTTCTGCGATGTTCCGGTCGGTCTCTGTCCCTTCCCAATGCCCTCAGCCATACTTGAGGGGGAAAAAGTGGCCAACTCTGTTGGCATTGAGCCTGTTTTTTGCTTCGAGCGGATGTCATGTTGCCGACTGGATTCAACATTTTTCGTGTGGATAGCTCTATTTCCAAAAGTTATTTTTTTTGGATTAAGTGGATAACTCTAGTTGAGGTAGTATATATATAATCAATATATATATATTGATTATATATGTTTTTTTCAGATTATATATGCAACCATGCGTACATACATATGTATATTGTATATATAATCAATACCTATATATAGGTATATTGATCTATATGATAGGGATTATATAAATTCGACAAGTAAATGGAATATATCATGGGAAAATATGTATTTGCACACGCACATATATATATATATATTATATATATATATATATATATTATTTTTATTATTATATATGTTATTATATATTGTATATTATTATATATTATATATTATACACCCATTGTTGTCCCTGAAGAACTTTCAGGATGAGATATTTCAACCCTAATACACATTAATGTTATCATGGCAATTGTCAACCATCCATGTTTTCATGATTTATAACACCCATTTATGGTAAATTTGGGATTGTTCACTATTGCTTTACCAATGTTCATCTATTTGGCAGGTGGCACAGAAATTTGAGCATGACATAGAACATTTGGATGATACATCCCACTTCTTAACAGTAATGTCCAATTTTGTGCGTGTTTGGGAAATGGCTGCTTTCGCTGGTCATTTCCCATACAAAGGTGAAGCAAAGGACAGTGAAATTGACCACAGACCACCAAGGCGAGTACATCTTGCGTGGAGTTTCCGGCCCGCTTGCGCCGAAAAATTGACAGCGAACTCAGCGGCGGAAGTGATGTGGAGTGGAATCCAAAAAATAACGTGACCCTATCTATCCGAGTAGCTCGTCAGGGAATGTTTGGGGCTTCGGTTTCGGGGAAGGCTTAGAACAAAAGATTTCATTGGGATCATCCGGGGTTGTTTGGGTTTGTTTAGGTTTATGCTTTCAAACCTCAGATTTCAAAGGCCAACTACAGACTTAAATCCAAGGAGGTTAAACATGGACCCAGTTTACATCACTGGGATTCTCCCATCTAACGCCGCTCTCACAGGAGCGCGCTGACCGTATCAAGGAGCTGAAGGAGCTGGCTCCGCAAGGGTTTTGCAGGGCGAAAATCACAGGAAAAATAAGTTTTGCTTCTGTGGGATGCAAAAACTCGTATGTCATAAATTATGATTTTAATTTGTAACTATAGTTTTTTTGGGGGGAATCACTTGTATATAATCCCGAAATATCATGAACACATTTCATCCTGGCAAATGATAAGTGGGGGAATAATATTTGCATGAAGTGTTAAGATGGAGGTATACACAGAACAGTATTCTTTCATATCTGTATGCATGTTGATATGCCTGGGCCGGTGATCTAAAGAGTCCTTAGCTAGTCTCCTAGACATGCTGGCATACACATATAAACACAGTTGGCAACCCCCAAAAGGATAGAATATTGGATATTTATTCTTTCCGGAATGTATGAGGATCAAACTATGTTCTCCTCATACTTTCCAGGTTTCCAACTATTACATCTATTTGGGAGACTGCTGTCTATATATATATATATTATGTATACATGCAGAATGCATTCGAGTCAGAACAAGATATGAACATTCTGACTCACCATTCAGCCTGGCCTATGGACATTGATTGTACGTATATTTATAGGGGTACAGGTGATATAAGTTCATACCCTAAGGATCCAAATACTTTCCAAGAGGGTTTTTAAGTATTTGACTTAATATCCAAAAATCATTCGCTGAATAATTTACTACAAGAAACTACTTCGATCCAGAACAACTAGATACGTCCATATGTAAAGATGTGTGTACATATACATATACATATATGTATATATATATATTACTTTATATAGATATAAAATGTCCACCTCTGATTTATAAATAGCCCCCCCTCTTTTACCCTAAATAGACTGAAAACCACCATCAAACTTGTTTGTATGTAAAGGTTTTCAATTACCACAATTGAAAACGAATACATAAAATGCAATTTCAAAAAAAATGAATCCAGCAATTGTTTTAGTATTGATCTAGTACTCATGTCATGGATTTAGTATTGATTTAGTATTCATGTCATGGATTTAGTATTGATTTAGTATTCATGTCATGGATTTAGTATTGATCTAGTATTCATGTCATGGATTTAGTATTGATCTAGCATTCATGTCATGGATTTAGTATTGGTTTAGTACTCATTTCATGGATTTAGTATTGATATAGTATTTATTTCATGGATTTAGTATTGATTTAGTATTCATTTCATGGATTTAGGATTGATTTAGTATTGATTTAGTATGCATTTCTTGATCAGCGGGAGGGGGAAGCTCAGTAGCTTTATTCAGGGTCAAACTCTAATTGGTGCTAAGGCACCTCATGGGGGGTACCCTTGATGAGTTGATTTGGAGTTGATTTTGGATAAGTTTAAGTAAAGGTTTTGAATAGAAAGAGCATCCATCATTTTTGACAATTTCCAGCTATCATTTTTGAATAAAGGTTTTGGTCAGCCCCATCTGGGCAAATCTGGGTTTAGGGCCAAAAAAACATTAGCTTTATTTAGGGTAGTTTTATTATTTAGTTTGGGAGTTTTTTTAGCTTTATTCAGAAACATATACGTGTGTATGTATGTGTGTATGTTCCCATTACATGCCCATTCTGTAACCATGATTGTTGCACACATTCTCTGTGACCAGGGTCTGATCCGTGCGCACGGAGCCAGGAGCACATCACACAACTCAAAAAGCGACATAATCAGATGTCACAGTCCCTTGGGGTTGCGGTGAGTTGTTTCCTTTTGTTTTGCCCTCTGGTTGTTTCATGTAGCTTTGGAAAATCACCATTTTTTTATTGGGTATATTTAGGTAAGTTATAATACATAAATAAATGGACCATTTTCCATAGCTATGTTACATAGCCAGAGGGTAAGTGATGAAAACTGGGGATTTCACACGATCAAACATAGGGATATATATATATATATGACACTGTATATGTGTATAAGTGTGGTGTTGGCATTTGCTGAACTGCAGATTTTCAACCAGTCAACATGTGGGTTCAACGTGAATTGAGCTAGACACATGGTAGAAAAAACTGAACAAACATGATCAAACATGGTTTTGATGATCATGATGGCTTCATGCAACAAGCATGCTGGCTTTGTACAACACAGATGAAGATACAAGGGAAGCAACTGTGGAGATGTTTCAGATGCCCGAAACTGGAAGTATACTGAAGTGAGCAGGTCCAGGCGGTGGCGAGATAGGGCCTCCAACTGCGACCCTGATCCCATAAATTGCTATCAATGGTGGTTAATGATAGTGTTTGTTGCTTGGGGGTAAGTTGTTGATAGGTCAATTAATTCAAGGATTCAATGCCATTGATTCAATTTGTGGATTGCCCAGATAGACATTTTCGAGCCCCACTTTGTTTCCTGGTTCCTATCTTCAGCTGTGTTGCCATGCGGGTGTTTGGGAAACTACATGAAAACCATCAACGACTTGGATTTAACCGTCAAAAATAGTGGTTCAATGGGATGTTATAAATTGGGATCTGGGATTCACGCACCTCCAGTAAACATCAGTAAACTAACATAGATGTGGAAAACCATGAAAACCCACCATTTCTACGTCATTCCCGAACGGGAAACAACCATGGATTTCCAGAGCTGTTTGTATGTTTGCTGGAGGGAGACCAGCCCGAAGGATCTCCCAACAAAGGTATTTGCCACTGAACATCTCCAAAGCAAAGCTGCAGAAAAACAAAAATCCCGAAAAACTAACGCGATTGTTATCCATTGTTAGCCCAAATTCCCTCTAATCAAACGTGGCTTGCTCGAAATCCAAGATTTATGGATGATGTTCCCAGCTATAAACCTCCATGTCTAGAGGATTTTCCCAGATGTTCCCATGATTTTTCCACCATTTCCAGGGGATTTCCCCATGAACTCCATCGATTTCCAGCCCAGGTTCATCAAGTCCCACGGTGGGCAGATCTGAGGACCGAGCCCAATTGGAAAGAAGCGGAACGTTGGATCAACAGAGGAAGAGGATTTAGTGCTTTGATATAGCAATCATATTAGGAATAGCTGGTTGGTGGTTTAAAACCATGGTTTAATGTGGTTTTATGTGTTTTAATAGGGAAAAGTATTGGATAACTGGTTGGTGGTTTGGAACATGAATTTTATGACTTTCCATTCAGTTGGGAATGGAAAATCATCCCAACTGACGAAATCATATTTTTCAGAGGGGTAGGTATACCACCAACCAGATAGCAATTAATATCAGTAATACTATAGCTAATGTTAAAAAATCACTGATATGATAATATTGGTAGTATAATATAGTATGTCAATAACCAGTGGTTTGAACTGCTGATATTACTGGCATTCAACATAGCTAGATTACTAGTAATGTAGGTTTGATATACCAATGATTTGAATTAGCCTCTGGTTATTTCACATAGCGAACTGGAAAATCCAAAAAAACAAAATGGAGGTTTATATATAGCTCGGAAAATCATTTGTAAATGGGCCATTTTCTATAGCTATGTTAAATATCCAGAGGGTAGTTTGAATGATTTTGCTATGGCATGCTATGGATCTTTTCCAGCTTAAAACGTGAACCTCACTTATGGATTTATCAACCCAGATGATTTTTTGGTGGTTCCTGCCGGCTTATTTGCCATTTAGCGGCTTGACAGTGGGATAGTAGGATTTAACCAATTTAACCATTACTGTAACAATAGGGATTTTAACCATTAACAATAGGGATTTTCAGGGGCTTCAGTTTGTTTTTTCCAGTTTGCACCTGGAAATGTAAGGACCTCACGTCCTGACGTCATTGGAATGATGGTGAGGATTGGAATCATCAGTGGCCGAACTTTTACTCACGAATTTATGATATTTGCTAACCACCAAACAGGATGGTATAACTCATACCCTCTGATAAATTAACATAGACCCTGAAAATAACATTTTTTTAATGGAAACTAATCTTCCAACCCCTATCTGGCGGGGTCTATGTTAATCCACTGGAGGGTAATTCATAGATATTGGGGTGAAAGACCAGCAGCATATGGAGATATAATTGGATATTCTATTGGGGAAACATCAATCGAGCAAACATGATCTCCGACCAGTGGATGGAATGAGATGCTGACTTCTCATACATCTATTTGATTACTTTGGTCTAGCCCAAGTCCATTCTTTGTTAATAAATGTTAATCATTGTTTTCTGTATAGCAGCCCTCCAAAAGATACAACTCCACAAAGATAAAAGAGTGATTCCAGGATGGTAGTTCCATGATGTTTACCCCTACCTTCCAGTTTTATTTTTCATTTTTCCGGCTTTCCCCCAAAAAAACAACATCTCCGTTTTGGCAGTTGAACATAGCGGCATTTGCCTGGGGTCCAACGGTCCAGCGGGCTGCCGGGCTTGCAGTTTCACCGTTCAAATGGCCGGGAGGATCGTCGTTTTTTGATTGATGCTTGATTCAATACATGTTATTGCAATGGTAATGGATATGATTTTATGTGTATATATATAATAGTAGCTTTACTGGACTCATCATATTTCATGTTATTTTTCATGGATGATATAATGGGTTTTAGTGCAATGGTAATGGATGATATTGTCACCAATGAGCATTGTTGCAATGAATAGGCACAATCAAACAAATGAATGATGGTACATGATAAGTATCAGGACGTGCAGATTAGGATGAACAGTCAATGGCTAACACAAGGCAGACAATGAAACCAGTATGTTTCTTTGTTATTATTGCTGTAGATTGTTTTGCATTCCAAAACCCAGTGTTTCGTTTGCACATTGCCGTGATGTGCTGAACCACGTTAAACCAGTTCAACTAGGTGGAGCAAAGTTCAAACAGAACGAAATAGATTGTGTAAAACCAAGTTGGTGGTGTAAATTAAACTGAAGCAAGTTCCAATTACAGCAATCAGTGACCAATGGATGGTGAACAAATGTGTTACTGTTAGTGATTAACCACGGGTGATCTAAAATTTGTTGGACAACAAAACTTGAATGTGGGACCCAGCCATGGGGATATCCCTTGGCACTTCGCCCCACAACATGGACGGCAAGTATTGCAGACCCATGTTGGCTTTATTCCTCTCGGAAAATTACTTTGAAATTTACACAGATGTCAGCATTTCAAACCACCAACCCAAATGACAAAAAACATGTGTTTTTTCCTTACTTTCAATATAGACTCCTGTGATCACCAAGTTCCGCCTTACACCGAGGAAAACTAACATAGATTTGGATAACCCATGGTTTCCCTAGGAAACTGATCTGTTTTGGATGTTCCACATTGGTGGAGGGCAACCACCCTTTATCATTGACGCATCGGATGAATAGGTTGGATTTTCTATATCCAATACATAATACATACCCATTATATATTCATATATAGGATGTTCCATAGTTTGTCTCTTAGAATTTGCTGCGCTGGAGTCCTTGAATTGGTTGAAGAGATTTGCAGGAAAGCCCCATGTTTCAGTTTCGGGGGAAACCATGCTATCGACCGTCAATTTCCCCGCGAATCAATCAGTGTACATTCATTTTGGATGGTTTGAACATGTTTGAACCCGAGTTTTCATACTAAAACCCACATTGTTCACAGTTACCCTCTGGTAATTTAACATAGCCATTGAAAATCACTATATATTTTTAATGGGTAAATCAACTATTTCCATGGACAATTTTCAATAGCAAACTGTAAACGTTTACCAGATGGTATGAGATTAACCTGGAGGTCAACCATTCCCGATGCCGAATCCACCGAATCCGGGATTCTCCTTCGGCCTCCCAAGATGAACACCAGGCGGCCAAGCACCGAGAGTAAAAACGGTGAGTTCATTTTGGATATACATGATATCCGGGAAGTCCCAAAAAACAAAGGTGATTTAGTCTATTTTAGATTATTTTAGTAGGATTTTACTTTTCGATTTGACTTTGCCAAAATAAATAGAAAGGGGGTAACTTGGGGAGATGAAACATTCATAAATTTGCCCCAAAAAATGCGGACGGGTAACCAATCTGAACCAGTGGTTGGCAACTTTCAACCTTGATAAAATGGCATGATCATCCTAAGTGAGTCGAATATTATTGGAATGGGTTGACACCACCAGGAAAAGTGCCAACCTACCAATGGATGTTGTGGATGACCGGATGACTTCATAATTAGGTGTATCATATTGCAGCGAGCAGCACATGCAAAGCCGTCTATTTTGCTATACTATTGTTCAAAATCCACATCTGACGTTTGGCTGGTTCCGACGGTTTAAAAGAAGATCTTTTAATCGATCATGAAATGTGAGATCCTTTTAAGGTCTCTAGAGTGATTCCATCATCCATCCCTATATCACTTTCTTTACCACATACCAGTTTCATGACGTGTTCCATCTTGGGCTTGCCGAATCTCACCTCGAATGCGTGTCACCGTGCTGCCCTAACCGCAAAGACCAAAAAGGATCCCCACGCGGGTCATCAGCGATGGTGGGTGTTTTGTTGATTTTTCATACCAAGCACCCAGAAATGGCAAATCTGCATTCCAATATGCAACCCATACATAATAATAGATATATATATAGATATAGATATATTTATTTAAAAAATAAATAATATATATACATATATATATATACTAAACGTGTTTCGATTGTTCCATGTACTTGTTTACCAGAAGAGAGCAGTCAGCGAATGCAGGAAAAGGTCGATGAAAAGGACTTGAATGTTGGCCACAAATGAAGGGCAATACCATCCTGCTGGACAATAACCTTCTTTCATCTTCGTGTAGGACATCCAAGGATAGCTACGATTGGCAATCCCACCCCCCTACATTCCGCCAGGGTTTCGTATTGGGGGTACTTAAGATGATTGGGGGAAAGGATTGCATTTGATTATACTCTATTTACTGGGGTTATAACCATGAACTGCAGTTCAGATCATGTTAATTAAAGCCCAAATTTCTTGCGGAGCTGTTGACTTGTGAGTATGGCAAGGTCTCCAGTTTGATATGGCTTAAATTCGAATTAATTTTTAGATACCCTTGTAGTCAAACATGGCTGGCTCGGAAATCCCCATCAACAACTGAATCAACAATGGAGTTTAACAATTCCAAATCATCGAAGCAACTCATGGATGTCCAGTCTTGCATGTTTGATTTATTTGCGGGATTAAAAGGGTTGTCGGAAGAATTGAAACTATTTGGTGTGTGGTTGTTGTTTTGCATGCCTTGATGCCGCTGATATTTGCAGACCTATTTTCCATTGGTCATGGATCTTCCATAAAGAGTCTCAGAATACAGGAGCACCAAGAAGTGTATCATTCAGCATTGTTGTTGCCCAATTTCCAGCCCTTCGCCATGGAACAAACATGAAGAGCCAATACGTTTTAAGCAAACGGCCAATTCCGGCGGCCAACATGGCGCAGCTTGCTTTTTCGGCGAGGTGTCCCAGCATTCGGATCCTGGCCGTGCTTTACCCGGCTCAACAGCAACAGATTTTCTCTTAAGGAACCCATCCATTGAAAAAAACAAGGTCTTCACATGGTCATTTTACCGCCTCTTTGGCGTCATTTTACCGAAAGATCCCCTTTGGATCCCTCCAACGCAGCTTCGGAAAATGGCCCAATTCACCAAAGTTCCCTGTGAATTTACCACAAAAGGCTAAGGTTCCCACCGATGATCATGTGGTTGGAAAACCCTTGGTACCTCCTTAGCCGTACCTCCTTAGCTCATAGCTCCGAAGACTGAGGTTTCCCAATCCAGACCTGTACAGACACAGTTCCGGGCTCCGGTGCTTCTTGGCCACAGTTCAGCTGTTGTTTTGATACCCCTTCTTCCATCATCTAGGAGTGGAGAGTGTATGGGTGTATATGATAAGGTTTATATATATATATATTATGTATATATATATATATGTGTGTATTCTAAACGCACTTATTAATGACAGTAAAATCAGAATCATATGTACTGTAAACTAACACCCAATTTTAGTTGTGCTGGTGCAATTTGTGTGTTCCTCCTGGTATGGTACCCAATTTTGACTCATACCGAGTGATGAGATTCCACCTGCACAATGAAGAACCTCGTCTCCTACTACTTAAGATTCCGTTGCTGCCTTTAGCAACTGGTACTCTGCATTATTGCAGCCTGGTTTGGGCTGTGACCAGATTTATAACTGCTGGGGGCCTCTTACTACAGTTACAGGTAGTACATGCGAAAAGGTGCTCTGCATACAAGTACTAAGCATGTCTAATCTCAGCATATGCACATATATATATATATATATAATTTATACATCTACAATAACAAGTACACGTATCATGCTATCCATTTGCGTGCACATATGAATAAATGTACATGGTATGACCCATTCACACTCCACTAGGTAAACTTGGAGTCACCTTCCCTAGAAAAAATGCCCCCGATTTTCTGTCAATAGTTTAACCGTTTATCATTATGATTGATCCGAGCTTTCACATATTTAAAGAGATTGTAGCAGCGCAAACCCTCCACCAGAATCCATTGGGCTTTGCTGTGGGGTTTCGACTCGGCCCATCAGCAACGTCTAGGAACGCCGTTGTTTGGCACCCAGACCAACAGATACCAAGACATATGCATGTGTACTAGATATATATATATATATATAGTTCTTTATATGCACATACTTTGCAAATACAATCGCAAATCGATGTATATTTGTATATTTATATATTGTTATATATATATATATATGTATGTTTGTGTATTTTTGTGTATGTATATATATATATGTGTGTATGTGTTAAATATATATATATATATATTCAGTATTTCCACATTTTGAACCTGTTGACTTATTTACAGTAACATGTTTTAAATTGCTTTATTTAATTAACCATACATACATTTGCACCGGCTTTGACTAAACAGTGGCATTTAGGCGCTCAGCAACGCGGATCAAGCGTACGGCAACGAGTGTCACCGGTGGCTCACAAGCAGCGTGGGAGACTCGGTGTGTGGTAAACCCAGAAAACGATCCATCAAGGAGTTCTGTAATGCATCATCCCAGATAGAGGTATACCAGGTATACCTACCAAGAAACCTCAATTGGGTGTATCATTGGGTTTACCTCATTATGTCCCACCTGTTTGATGATTGATGCTTATAGAATCTATTGTTGCAGCTATTCATTTTATCTCATTCTCATGGCCGGTGAGTCAGGACCCTTTCCTTAGTTACAAGCACTTGTTATGTCACAGGTATATTGCCCATATATAAACCCACATTGTAGGGACATGTTTTTGGGGATTCTTCCTGATGTTTTGAAGTTCCCAACTGCACCGTTTTTTTGTTGCATCCCGCGCAGCCAATGGCTCGGCAACCAGAATGGGGGCACCTTTGGTCATTGTTCTATCCATGCATGGATGTTGTGGTATATAGATATATTGGTTGGTGGTTTCTAACATTGTTTATTTTCCATAATTAATATATTGGATAATCCTTCCCATTGACTTTCATATTTTTCAACATGGTTAAAACCACCGACCAGATATGTATGTATATACCTGCAGGATCCTGCAGGTATGTTGAAACATGTTGAAACCTGTTGAAAGGACTCTCCAGATTTATGAGTTTTTTTTTGGCTTGCGGCTTGACGAACCATGTGAACAATGCTACAGCCATAGTCTGTGATTTGCGAGTGGGTCTTGACACCGAATAACATCAGTTGAATTTGCTTTTTCGTTGTCCATTCTATGGTAATTGGTGTGCACACGGAAAACAAACATGTTCTGGAACATGGATTGTGACACAATTTCTAGATGGTCCTCTTCAAAACAGACGGGCGAAACCGATGAACGGTATTGGTCGTACAGCAATAGTAAACCATCCCAATTTTGCAAATTTTAACCGGTGATATAAACCATCAACACATGGGTGTTTGATCATTGCCGCTGCCTTCCACTTTGCTGCGCGACGCATGGCCGCTGTGTGACCTGTGGACGCTCTGCTTGACGTGGACCATGCCGCTGTGGGCAGCAACTCTGGCAGTTTCAACAGACGATGGGTCAAAACCACCATCATATTGGGGGAATAGACATCCACCAAACAGATTTCTTTGGGGTACCATCCGGGTGGGGTTTTGACGAAATGAGGATATTGCCATTCCACCATGCAGGTTAGATTTCTTGGGTAAGGCAACAAGATACCCAAGGCTCAGAGACCCAATGGCAAACCTCCAGAGATGTGGGCTTGTTTGAGAATAGGATGTCCTTAAATCCGATGGGTTGTCATCGTTTTCAAGCATATTTGTCCAGATTAAAAGTTGCCATGTGGTTGTCATACCCCCATTTTCAAATATACCAAGGATCAGTGTGACCCAAAATATGTGAACATCCTACGGCCTAGGCTGTTGCCTGGCAATAGGTACCTAGGTACCCTCTGGTAATCAAACATGTCTAGCTGGAAATTCATAAACGGATGTTTATAGCTGGGAAATTCATCGAACTAAATGATCGGTTTTCCATTGCTATGTTGGAACCTTGGGAGACGCAAAGCAGTCAGTCATCACTTCATCAATTGATGTTCCCTTGCCTGCCAGACCTGTCAGACCGGCGTTGCCCAGGTAATTCTTGTATGGTTTTTCGGATGTTCTGGACTGCTGGTGCTGAACGCGCGGCTGTCGGAGCGCCCACCCAGGCCGTCAGTGCCATGCGGAACGGTTGGTGATGTGTTGTGTTACCCACTTCAGCTTGGGATTTGAGCATCCAAAATCATAAACATGTGAATTTAAGCATATAGATATATTTTGATGGTGATGAGCTTAGTCTGATAGGCATTTCATTTATATTCTATTCTCATTGGACTAGACTTGCTAGTAAGCCACTCATACAAGCCAGTTGGTGCACCCCAATCGACATATCACATTGTGTGAAGTAATTATCAACTTAAGATCTGAACATCTCTTTGGTAGCTATCATTCAATAGATTGGAACCTTGGGTTTCTGAGATTGTAGGTGGTTATACTGATACCATTTGAAATGGTCCTTCAAACAAGTTCACATGGGAGTGATACACACCGTGGCCATGTTTCGGGCGAGGCCCTGTCATCCCAAGAAGACCTGCCAATTGAGGTCATCTCTTGGGAATATGTGTTTCTCATGAAACATCCAGTTTTGAGTATATTCTGACTTCTTTAGGTACAGACACAGATCTTAGGAAGTCTTTCATATCCTCATTGTTTAGGGGTGTCTTTGGCCTGGATGGGAGGGCCAAAAAACCAAACATTTTCCTGCACAGGAAAAACTTAGTCGACTTGCCTGGTCATGCAACAATGGGTGCCCAAAACCATTCAGTTCATTAAATATAGTAAATAGAGTAAAACGGTATATGTAAATATAGTAAAACGGTATATGTATGTGTTTATTTCTCCCTCTCTCTCTCTCTCTCTCTCTCTCCCCCTCTCTTTGTATGATATCATCATCAATATCATCATCGTCATCATCATCATCATCATCTACTTATTCTTCTTATTGTTGTTCATCATCAGCATCATCATGTTTTCTTCATCATTATCATATTTGTCATCGTCATCGTCTTCGTCATCAGCATCATCATCATCATCATGACAATCTATCGATATATCTATAGATTATTATGTCTATCTATCTATACTTCTATTTATCTATTTATCTATCTATCTATCTATCTAAATCTAATCTAATCTAACCTACGCTAAGCTAATCTAATCTAATCTTATCTTATCTATCGATCTATCTATCTATATATCTTTCTTTCTTTCTTGTTGTCTTTCTTTCTATCTTATCTATTTTATCTATCTTATCTATCTTATCTATCTGATCTATCTTATCTATCTAATCTATCTAATCTACCTAATCTACCTAATCTACCTAATCTGTCTATCTATCTATCTAATCTATCTATTCTATCTAATCTATCTCTAATCTATCTAATCTATCTATTCTATCTAATCTATCTAACCTATCTAATCCATCTAATCTATCTATTCTATCTATTCGATCTAATCGATCTAATCGATCTAATCGATCTAATCGATCTAATCGATCTAATCGATCTAATCGATCTAATCGATCTATCTAATCGATCTAATCGATCTATCTAATCTATCTATCTAATCTATCTACCTATCTATCTATCTATTTATCTATCTATATAGCTATCTATCTACCTATCTACCTATCTATCTATCTACCTATCTACCTATCTACCTATCTACCTATCTACCTATCTACCTATCCACCTATCCACCTATCGACCTATCCACCTATCTACCTATCTAGCTATCTACCTATCTACCTATCTACCTATCTACCTATCTACCTATCTACCTATCTACGTATCTACCTATCTACCTATCTATCTATCTATCTATTTATCTATCTATCTATCTATCTGTCTAATCTATCCATCTATCTGTCTGTCTGTCTGTCTCTCTATCTATCTATCTATCTATCTCTCTATCTATCTATCTATCTAATTTATCTAATCTATCTAATCTATCTAATCTATCTATCTATCTATCTGTCTGTCTGTCTGTCTGTCTGTCTGTCTGTCTGTCTATCTGTCTCTCTATCTATCTATCTATCTATCTATCTATCTATCTATCTATCTATCTATCTATCTATCTATCTATCTATCTATCTATCTATCTATCCTATCTACCTTACCTATCTTATCCATCTAATCTATCTTATCCTTCTTACCTATCTTATCTATCTTATCTATCGTATCTATCTTATTTATCTTATCTATCTTATCTATCTTATCTACCTGATCTATCTGATCTATATTATGTATATTTTCTATCTTATCTACATTATCTATATTATCTTTCTTATCCATCTTATCTAATCTACCTATCTTATCTAATCTATCTATTCTATCTATTCTATCTAATCTATCTAATCTATCTAATCTATCTAATCTATCTAATTTATCTAATCTATCTAATCTATCTAATCTATCTAATCTATCTAATCTATCTTATCAATCTTATCTATCTTATCTATCTTATCTATATTACCCATCTTATCTACATTATCTATATTATCTTTCTTATCCATCTTATCTAATCTACCTATCTTATCTAATCTATCTATCTTATCTAATCTATCTATCTATATATCTTATCGATCGATCGATCTATCTATCTATCTATCTATCTACCTATCTATTTATCTATCTAATCTAATCTAATCTAATCGAACCTAATCTAATCTAATCTAATCTAATCTAATCAATCTATCTAATCAATCTAATCTAATCAATCTATCTAATCAATCTATCTAATCAATCTATCTAATCTATCTATCTAATCTATGTATCTAATCTATCTATCTATTCTATCTATCTATCTACCTATCTATCTACCTATCTACCTATCTACCTATCTACCTATCTATTTATCTATCTAACTATCTACCTATCTACCTATCTATTTATCTATCTAACTATCTATCGATCGATCTATCCAATCTAGTCTAGTCTAATCTCATTTGATCTTATCTAATCTAACCTGATCTAATCTAATATATCTTATCTAAGTTTTTCTTATCTTATCATATATTACCTTATCTTATCCCATCATTTCCTATCAATCCCCGTGCATCCCATTATCTAAACACAGAAAGCACCACCCAGATCTTTTTTTACAGCATGACATCCAATTCAAGAGGTTTTTTTTTCCAAATTACTATTCTATCTGTTTGGTGGTTACATGTGCTTACTATATATTATACCTGTGGATGCAGCCGTACCTTCTGAGGGAGTATCACTGCGGTGAGTTTTTCAGATACATAGGAATATGATTATTAGATATTATTAGATGCATGCACATGTATGTTTATGATATACTGATCTTCAATTCGTGTTCATTGCAAATATATGCACATACTAAAGCACCCCCCAAAAGATCCAAAAGTAATTCATCAGTACAAGGTGGTGCCCCCCGTGTATGTGTATTTATGTATATATATATATATATGCGTGTGTGTGTGTGTTATAGTGTATCATAAACCTTCATGAAAAAGGAGTTGCACCAACTTCGCGATTTCAAACCATCAGCTATACCAGTCTATATCAACTTTATCCCCCTGCATCCTGCTATCTCTTGTTGGTTCTGTGGTTTAAAGCTCCATGTTTGTTCGCTTTTGCGTAGGCTGCGCATCAGCCATGTGGACGAAAAGACGGGCCTGACCTGGACCAAAGGCCTCGGAAGTGGCGAGAGCTCGGCCTATGACACGGAAGCTGGGCAGAACGCTGAGCTCGGCCATGTGGCGAACTGGCTAAACGATGGACAAAATTTGGCTAAAGTATAGGTGGGAAAAATAGGGGTAACATAACATGGGTAAAATATGGTTAAAATAGTGGTAAATGGACACGTATGACTATCTTATATGAAAAATATTGGGAAGGTTTTTGTAAACTAAGGGTAACATATTGATAACATTCCGAAGAAGAAGGGTGAAGTATTTTGTTCTCGCTTAACAGTTTTCAATCACCCGATTGTGTGGTGAATTTCCCCAATATCATTCAATTTTGTCCCTGGTACACAGCATTTCGGGATTTGAGCCGAAAAATGGGACTTAGCGAGGGACAATATGGGTTTAAAAAATATCTAGGAGGCTGTCATTAAAAAAAAAACATGTGGATTTAGCGAGGAACCATGAATAAAATGTTACGTGATTTCACCAGACAAAATTTGTATTTAACAATCAGCCAACCAACTCTTGATAATCATGGCGTATGGAGGATATTAGTGGACATTGGGTGGCTGGGATGTGTGGACGGTGTTGAAATGGGAGAGAGCCATAGTTGCCTGGTACGGGGATGGTCCAACTGAAGTTATCCATGGTTTGTGGGACCTCCTACAGTCATGACATACCGATTCAATAGTAAGGGTTTAAATTAAGTGCGTATTAATCACCAGCAACCACTATAGCTATGGCTACCCAACTATGGGTGTTGAATCTCCATGATCTCCGTAAAAAGTGGAGCTTACATGGGTTAGGTAACCTATGGTAACCTAGATATCTGAAAACTTATTTACCTGACACCTCCCGGGTCTCCGGGATGATCTTGGCTTGTCCGGCGCTGCATCCATCCTTGTGGTTGGGTTAAGTCCCTACTTTAGCTGAACAAACCGGTGATCTTTGAATGTGTATTGTCGTTTTGCCGGTGAAGTCCTTTTTCTTGGTTCAATTTGTTCCCCACCTGCCAGGTGAGGGTTGTTAGATTTTATGTCAGTTGCCTCCTCCTGCCTCGTCCTCCTCCTCCTCCTCTCCTCCTCTCCTCCTCGTCCTCCTCGTCCTCCTTGTCATCCTTGTCGTCCTTGTCGTCCTCGTCGTCCTCGTCGTCCTCGTCGTCCTCGTCCAACTGCGACCCGCGATCCACAGTGTTCTCTGCCGGACCTCAACCACCCACGCCCAGTGTTCCCTGCCGGACCTCAACCACGACCATCCACGCCCAGTGTTCCCTGCCGGACCTCAACCGCGAGTATCCATGCCAAGTGTTCCCTGCCGGACCTCATGTAGGAAGATAAAATGTCAGATAGAGTGCCAGAAGATTTGCCAGGTAGAATGCCAGAAAATATGCCAGAAGATATGCCAGATAGATATGCCAGAAGATATGTCAGAATATATTTATGCCAGAAGATATGCCAGATAGAATGCCAGATAGAATGCCAGAAGATATGTCAGAATATATGCCAGAAGATATGCCAGATAGAATGCCAGATAGAATGTCAGAAGATATGTCAGATAGAATGCCAGAAGATATGCCAGATAGAATGCCAAATAGAATGTCAGAAGATATGTCAGATAGAATGCCAGAAAATGTGCCAGTAAGAACAGGTATAAATGTCATGGTGGGGATCACACGAAGTAAAGTTTTTTTTTTTGCAAGCAAAACCCTTACCATTTGGGAATCGAACATGGCAATGGAAAATCCGATTTTGACGGAGGCTTTGTAGAATGGGACATGTTTCTATAAATGGGGGGTTTCCAACTGCTGTGTTTGATTACTGGAGGATACCTGTTTGATATTTCAGTAACCTCGTTTGCTACCTGGACGTTAACTCAACTCTCATGAAAGTTTAAACCCCCAAAGGTAAGCCGCCCCAAACAATAATGATTCAATAAGGCCCTTGATTCATACTGGGGGGCGCATCCCAGTTAGTAGATGCTTTATAACCTAGTAAAACTTGGGTATATGCTACAAGTTTTAAGTTGACTGGGGACCAATATTATGGTTATGTGCTATTTACATCTATTTACCAACTAGGATGCACATCCAAGAGGGGTTTGATGGAAACGTCGCACCTTCCGAGGTGCAAATCATCATGGATCAGCTTCCTAAGTCTCGCCTAGGCCTGGGATTAATGAGATTTGGGCCCATGAGATTTGGAGAAGCATCACTCTTCTGGAGGGTTGAAACAGAATAATAATATATATAATTATATGTATATATGCACGCAGAACAATTGCACACAAAATCCTATGAAGTTTTGTATATATTTGGAGGGCTCTCTACGTGTATATATAATATAAATATACACACGATTATATGAATTATACATGTACATCATAAACATATATATATATATATTTACTGTTCATATGTTTACTGTATACATTCATTTAACATAGATATAATATATTTACCTCAAATCTCTGAATTTTGGAACTGGGACCTAACCGTACCAACAGGCCCCTGGTGTGAATTCATTAAGTCTTTATCATATAAACCCATTGCATCATTTGATCATTATCTTAACCTACCATTGTCATAGATATTTATATATAATAGTTAATGACGTTTCATATTTGTTTGACATGTTTATCTAGATTCTTTAATCGCATACGTTTGCTGGATCATATGTATCTCATAGATATTTATTTCATATATTGTTTGGAATATCTCCTGGGTTTTTTTCCATCCTCATCCTCCAGGCATCAACCTGGTGCACAACCAGGTGACTGTCAGCCGCGTGGTGGTGCGGGAGGCCTTTAATGCTGGCTGGCGCGTGGGAGATGTGATCCTGGAAGTGGATGGGAAGCAGGCGAGGTGGATGGGAATCTGAAATTGAGGGCTTGCCCTTGGGGTATCAAAGGCGGGCAATGGAACAGCGCCTATAAATGGAGGGTTTTAGTGGGAAAATCACACACACATACACACACACATATATAACATATATATATAAATTGAACTAGGATAAAAAGGGACTTTTAACCGGCCTGGATGATACCCCCAATAATTCCTGAAAGAAAGGTGACTAAACTAATCAGAGTGTGGATATATTTTGCATATATATAAAATGATAAAATGATATATCTACAAACATTGCATGGATAGTTACCTAAACCTAAACAGCTAAATCCACATTTATACATAGATATATGATATATGTAATATATGTTCATCGTATGAAAGATTGGCCGCGTGGTGAGGGTGGACGATGGAAATCTGACCGGAATGGGGACAATTCCCCTCAGAAACCCTGATCGGTCTCATTGTTGTCCCACCGCAAACAGGCGTCAGTGTCGTTTGGATCGATGCTTAATGAGACAAGTTAAGGCCTGGTGCACTTGCTCGAAAGAAACAACAGGTCAATCTGTAACCTATTACCTAGCATCAGCAGGCACTTGCCTGCCAAAAGATAATCACGCGTTTGACATATCCAACATATTTTCAGGCAGTTTGACAAAAAACTCAAACAGTTATATTGATCAGTTGCCTTGGGGCGAATGTAGGTTCAAATTGCTTACATTTGGCCAGAGGACCTGGATCATGTCGATCACTTTACAATAGGTAAACATCCGCTGTTATAATCAGTCTATAACGTATACATATATATATAAATATATATATACACGTTTCGTTACAGTTATATATACTATATATATATGTAACAGTTAAACCAATAGCGACTGCGAGTTGGTAGCCAGTAAAGATAGCATATATTTAGCAATTGCCCCTATGAATTGTCGATAACAATTAATTTGCCATAATTTGTATATCGATGTTGCAATTTATTTACTATGATTTGCTATATTGATACTCACATAGTCATACTACAGCTCATGACTGGACTATAGGTCATATGTGTATACCAACATTGATCATTAACATATTCATTGTCAACAATGCCATCGGTCATATCGATCAAAATAATATATTGTTGATATTCACTAACAATACCATTTTTACATTACACATAGCTCCTTGTGTTTGAAGGATAGATGAAAACGGCATTTTTTAAATCTATTCCAGAGGATTTCGTTCACCATAGTTGCACATAACATTGATCAAACAAAATCGTTGAGATACATGTTCGTATAATTTAGGCATATTTGCCCATTCTCTGACGACAAAATAGGTCAGATGCGTAATCATATAGTGAAACAAACATCTACAGTAGTAGTCTTTTTGGCGGGGTTACATTGCATATACCTGTATCTTATCACCTAGCATGAGTACGGGGGCAAATAGTAAACAAGTCTATTTTTGATGGTTGTATTATACACAATATTTCACATATAGGTAAATCTTAGGATAAATCTTAGTAGGATAAATATGAAAAAAATCGTAAATCTTTGGTAACCCGTCCAGGTGCATTACACAATATTTCAATGGCCATTCCAGGATCCTAAATTGGAGGTACCTACCATATATACGGCCTATATAAGGCCTATGTAAGAGGATATCCCCAGAAAATATGGCCTTATATGGTACAGTACCTCCATTTTAGGATCCTGAAATTCCCATTGAATATTACACAGATATAAATCATCAACAACTTCCAGGTGACGCTGCCCAGGTGCGCTCCAACAAGGCGGTGCAGCGTGCTGTACGCCAGGCGTTGCTGCAGAAGAAGCTGCCGCTGAGCTTCAAGGCGAAGGGCAAGGGCGCGGCTGCCGGGGGGCTGGGAGGAACAAAATGTGATCAACTTATATATATATATAATGTAATGGTTTATGATATATTGGTACGTATACATATATAATGGTTTATGATATATTGGTACGTATACATATATAATGGTTTATGATATATTGGTACGTATACAAATATAATGGTTTATGATATATTGGTACGTATACATATATAATGGTTTATGATATATTGGTACGTATACATATATAATGGTTTATGATTTATTGGTGCGATATGACTATAATATATATATATATACATGTGTATGTATATTCATCAGTTTTCAGGTTTGTTGAGGCTGGCTGAAGTTTGCATAATTTTTGAGGGGGTTGAAAGGATCAAGTTTTCAGCAAATGAGAGTGTGACTGTGAAGCATATGAGGTCATCACCCAGCACCTCTGTGGGATCATGGGGATACTATGCGGTATTCATGAACTAGAACCGACACATCATCTAACCAATCTAACCTCTTGTTCTTGTTCAAGCCTTCGGGAAAACTAGGTGTGTCCCTCCAAGCTATAGCAGCTTGCAGCATTCCATCAAAGGTTTGAGTTCCAAACCTTGATCCATACAGCCAACCAACACACATTTGAACATGATTCAGGATAGAACAAACCATGCACTCCTAAAGTAAACCAAGGCCTGCCGATTTGGCCAGCTCTTTCAATTTTGCCATGTGAAATCTACATGTTAATTTCATATTCATCTAGAAACGAGGATTTCCCCAGTGCCATGTTTGCGAAGAGGGTGCCAATTGCCAATCAGGCTGCTGACATCCAAATTGCTGCTGACCATACGCTCACTTTTATACATTACTATGTAGTTTTCGATTCATTCCGTCGATAAGATTAGATATATAGTAATAATATCTATTTATTTATTTATATATATATGTGTGTGTGTTCCCACAACTCGATGTCTACACAGGCAGGATGCATGTGTACGACCATGAACAAACCCAATTATATATTTGTTCCAGTACCAATAAACACGGTTCATTATTCGATAAATAGAATTATATAAATCAACAAGTAATTGTATCTATATATATATAGAGAGAGAGAGAGAGAGAGAGTTGCCATGTTCTTTGTTTGCCTTGTCTTGGGCCCCAGCTCTCCCTGATGGGGAAGCCAGGTCCGCCGTTGGGCGGTGCCGGATGGCTCCCGCGGCATGCTTCAGCTGACGAAGGATGGCCGTGCCTTTGATGCAGAGGAATGGAGATTACCGATCAAACAGCCAATAAATAGTGGTGATGAGACCAGCAAACATAGGGATTTAACACCATAGTATACTATACAATTCTATACATTCATACATACATATATATATATATATATATTGTAACACACGCACATAAATAAATAAATAAATATATATATATATATATGCACGTGGTGTGCATGTGTGTGTGTGGGGAAGGTGGTATTCTGGGATGAAAATGGGTACATTTGATGAAATATGTTTTACCAACAATCAAAATCTGATATTTAAGTGTGGTACCTAAAACTGGGCTGTATTCCTTCCCCGTGATGTTTCTTTTCGTCACCGGGAACACGCTGTTTGAAACTGGTCCCTAGTGATTGGTTAGCAAGTTCGGTTCCTGATAAAAACAACCCAAATGCCAGCAATTTCAGTTGCCCTACTATTAAATTCATTTGAAGATGTACCTTTTGGTAAACTAATGGAAAACAAATGAAAATTGTCCAGTTATAGCCTACTGTATTTACCCATTAATCATGGTGACTTTCCATCGTTTACTGGAGGGTAGATCCTGGTTTTGGGCACCTGTCGATCTCTAGCTATGCGGCAGCTCCTTTATTTCAAATTGACTTCTGTATCTACGGAAGCACCACACCTTGGGCATGGAGAATATGAATTCAGATATCGCCAGATGTGGCCCAATGGCATGGCATGGTGTGAATATCAGACCATGATGATTTGGAAGAGAAGACCGTGATTGGTGAAGCACCTTCTCGCCCCTGCCGCTACAGAAAAATCAAACTCCGCCATGGAGAGGGAAACTAGCGAAAACTCCGAACAAAACAGAAATCCATTGCAGACTTGTTGGCGGTTCTAGACACGTTGCGTGTTCTGCAAATCGGCTGCTGCTGCTGCTGCTGCCGATGATGATGATGATGATGATGATGATGACGATGATGATGATGCTGATGATGATGATGATATTAATTTTGTTTTATTTACCACAATGTCCCCCTATCACAAAATCCCTGTTAACAGCATGATCAAAATCCTCATGGATTTCACCAGTAAGATCCCCAGCAATATCAGCATTAATACCATCATTGTTCCCACTAATGAAACCATGAATACTGCCTACAATGTGAGGCCCCCCAGTTATAAGTTGGTTTATAAGCCCCAGTAACTATAGTTATCATAAACCATAGTTATTGGAGTTATAAACCAACTCAGCTATCTTGGGGGCCTCACATTGTACGAAACATTGCCATTTTCCATGGCTGCCTTTGATTACCAAAGGGCACCACCATTGGACCATGGTCGTTTCGGCGCCAAGACCGCGAGCACCTGGTGCCCATGCTGGACATCGTCAAAGGCGTTCTGCAGGACCGGTGATTTAACCATCAAAAATGGGAATTTCACCCACAAATCCTGATTTATCCAACAACGCATGGGAGATTTGATGGTATTTAGTGCGATTTACTGTATCCAACAAAAATGGTGATTGAATGGGATGTTGATGGGGATATAAATGGGATATACCCAACTGCCTTGATATGATACTTGTGTTTGTGGCTGAAATTAGGGGGGGAACTCAAAGACAACAATTTCAATGGGGAAAGTGCTTAACCGGTGGATGTAGGGTACCCTTTTTCAGACAAAGCTACATTTATTGATGGATGTGTTTTACATCAACGTCGTAATCTCATGGGTTTTTGTGATATCGATTTTAGTTATAGTATTATACTAGTTAGCGGCTCCAAATATGTGTGTGTGTATGTGTGTGTGTATGTGTGTTGTTGTTCCTTCCATTTTAGGGCATGGTTGGGACTTAGGAAACAAGATGCCCAGGGGAGAGAGCGAGAGAGAGAGAGAGAGAGAGCATCCAAAATGGATCCCAATGGTGGCAACACGCCAGGATTCAGTGGAATTTTAATGGGAAAGTGATGGGATATAATTCACCAACTTGAGATTGTTATGATATTAATGTGAAGTGGGGAATATGGTTTGAAAATTCATGATCACACACGCACACACACACACATATATATATATAATTTAATTATATCATTAAGGATTGTGCAGCTAGCAGCTAGTATTTCTGGATGATTATGATCTTTAGTCCAGAAATGGGGAATCTCCGCTTTGGCAAATGTTGATGGGGGAACTCTTCACGACTCGGCTCGCCAAGTGGGATACACCACTAAGATCAATCATCCGACATCCCCATGGCCCATGACCTATGTAAAATTATCTGAAATCCGGAACGTTTATTGGGAGAATAAGAGCAACACTATATAATAGAAATAACATGGGTTTCGGTTTAACCGTCACAATTTGGATTGTAAGGATGTACAAACTGACAAACATGGGCAATGGGAATATGGGGATATCACTCCTTGGATGTGCAACATGTTATTTTGTTGTTTTCAATGGCTCACTCGACCACTAGGTGATGATGCGCCGCAGGATCTAACGACAAGCGACTTCCGCTGGGAATTCGTCTCCCATTTGGTGAACATCTGGATCTCATTGCCCAACGGGAATACAATCCCGCCTACATAAAATACAGTATACATATATGAATACATTGAATTACATTGAAATACAAGTATAATGTGCATATGTCTCACATGTATATAGCTATGGCCATCGGTACATCCCTCCACCTATATATTTCCCATGTTTAATAAAGCATCGCCATTCGATTTCTGCGAGGAGTTCCGCGTGGTGCTCTTCCTGGAGGGCCCCTTGACGGAGCCCAAGACACGCCTGAGCCGCCGGGTGGTGCAGCGGCTGGACGCCTTGGGGCTGCCCTTCAAGGCCAGCCGCACTGATGGACATTGAATGACATTACTGGTCTTTTATAGGGATGATAATGGGATAATAGTGGTTAATAGTGGATAATGGTGGATAATGGTGGATAATAGTGGTTAATAATGGTTAATGAGATATATACTGGTTGGTGGTTTCAAACATGTTTTATTGTCCATAATATATGGGATGTCATCCTTCCCATTGACTTTCATATTTTTCAGAGGGGTGGCTCAACCACCAACCAGTTGTGTCGTGAATGTTGTGAAGATTAATGTAAGGCACAAACTAGGTACTAGGAACCAGCCAGTAGCTTTGGGGATGACAGAAGGTCCGGAGAAGGTTTTTGAGACCATTCAGCTGACTTGCGAGTCAAGAGAGCTCAGAAGATGTAAACATTGTAAGATAGACACCCTTGAGCAAGCATATACCATTCCAAAGAAAAATGTTTGATTGGGTTTCCTTGTTAGGTTTCATTTGCGGAGATCTCTGTTTGTTTGCCTCGTGCGACTTGCACGGGCAATAGGAGGTGATTATGCTTGCGCAGCCACGTGAAAATTATGTCGCTGTAGGATTAATTGAAAGAAAACATGAAAACAAAAAAAAACATATCACAGAAAAGTCATATGTTCAACAAAACCCCGCTCAATTGAACGGAGACAAGCATCGTGCTCGCCTCTCCCCGTGATGGTTTTGAAGCCCGTAGATCCCGAAACCGCAGGCGATGCCAGTTTGGTAGCGAATTTCGAAATTGGAACTCAGCACTGGCGAAGAGCAAACCATCAACAATATAGGGATTTCATGGATATATATGGTGCTTTATGTGGTTTCATAGTGATATTTCTGGCAATAATTTGATCATGAACTCACGTCGTGATGTCATTGGAATGGTAGTTAGCTTGAGATTTGCCATGGGGGAATGATCCCAAATGGCCCTATGATAAGAGCTACCCTCTGGTAAACTAACATAGCTATTGAAAATTGCCATTTATAGTGGATTTACCCATAAAAAATGGTGATTTTCCACAGTTATGTTAGTTTACCAGAGGCTGTTTTCAGTTTAGTGAATGATTATAGTTCAGCCAGACATTTACCATGCATTATTTACCATACATAAAAAACATCCAGTAGTCCATGCTTGGCTGGCGAATTCCCGACTTCAATGGAGGTTTATAGCTGGGAAAATGATTGAACGATGTTTGACCTCTCCGCAACCCGGCGGATCCGGCAGGCCATTGATTGCAGCAATGAAAAAAGCAATCCGAGCATCCGGAAAATTGCCAAGGAGCTCTCCGGAGAGGAGGCGAAAAAATGCGCCTTTTGTTGAGTCCGGTCCAGGAAAAAAATAAGGAGGGTTCAAGCATCACGCAAACATAGAGTTTTGTTTAGGGGGGAAGGGGGTAGGAAGGAATCATAGTGCGGATTTAAGGGAGCTAGGAGGTGGATATAAATTAAGACTATCGGATAGAAGTTGGTTTCACATTAATGTTTAACCATGTTTGATTCGGAAATACAGTCGATATATGGGCCTGTCCAAAAATGTTGTTTTTGCTATGTTTTTACTCCAAGATTTGGCCATCGAGTAATGGTGGAAAGGAGATGCTAAATGAGAGGAGAGAATAGGGATCAAGAATAGGCGTCACACTATTTTGAGAATCTTTGAGACAAACTCACACCCAGTTTCAGCGGTTGGTGTGGCCCCAGTGTGATTCATATTCATTCATGATGATGTGAAGGTGCCCAACCCGGACCTGGAGTAAATGGCAGCGGCTCAGCATGTAAGGCACCAATCCATACGCTTCACCCACGAGCGATCCATAGCCCCGACCCATATATCTCTAAGGGGTATGGTCCGTACTTTTGATCCATGCCAGAAAATGACAAGTTGTACTTAAACCAGGCAACTGTAGTATACCTTCTCAATAGGTCCGGATCAAACCTCTTGTAACTTCTTCCGTGCGTTGAGGTCCCACCGCAGATATCCATGTGTTGTTTTCATTATTATTATTAACAATACCCAAATCACCATAAATCACCATGAATCACCTATACTTTCATATGATGAGTAATTAATTGCATTGAAATCCATCTATACCCGTCCCATGTTTGTTCGTTAGTTATTCTCATCCTATTGTTTGCGATGCGAGGCGATGTCATGAGGTTTTGACTGCTGCACCGCAGGTTCTCCCGCAGCTGTTCATCAACGGCACGCACGTGGCTGGTGGTCGTGCGACTTGGACGATTTACTGATTGGTGCTTGTGTTTTAATTATGTGGTAAACCTTAGTGGTAAACCATTCCCAATAGAGGTTTGATTGTTGGTTATACCTGGAGTTTCACCTTTTTATTTTGAACATAATGTTTGTCAATTTCCAATATATTCGGCTACTGTATACCAATATATCGCCAATATATCGCCAATAATCCCAATGAAATCAGGCTGGTGGCTTGAAGCACATGCCTTTATTTTGCATCCTACCTGGGATGATGATCCGCAAATTCACAGATGTTATAGGCATCGAATGTGCACTGGTATCGGGAGATCAAGCAACTCAAAGGGGTCTCAACTTCAACCAACAAATAAAGGCCGGGACTGTTTATACATTATTAAATTATGTTATTATTTTGATATGTAGCAATCTCAAACTACTTCACCATAGTTCATGATTACTACTGTGAAAGATCCTCCATAATGGCTTTGAATCCGGGCTTGAAGTTATGATTGATTTTGAAGATGGGTGATGTATACAGGGAGAAGGACCTTCCTTCGGCGTTGCATAGTAATAGGCAGAATCCAAGACAACGCGCCATTTAGAACAGTTGGTAATGGGGGGGAAGTTGGAATCAATGAATCCACATACCTGGAGCATTTGGGCCAGACGATGTGGCCTTCAGTCCCAACCAGAGGATGCTCAGAAAACCACCCCGAAATCATCCAAAATCACAGGAATTTGGAGGGAGGAGGTCTATCTAAAATTAAAAGACATGTTGAAAACTACAGCTGGTTGCGTTTTTCTGATTACTGCTCATTTGGACATTGCACGTCCGCATTTGCGTTGATCAAAGCTGTGTGGCGCCCCTGACTTGGGATTGTTGGCATTTGCAAGCGGCCAACATTTGATGTGGTCTTGCGGGTTCGATGTCTTTGAAGATCTGAACCAACCCAGAATTGCAAGGGAAAGTCTGCATGAAACTCTATATTTGGTGGTAAAATCTAGGGTTTCCCGTGGATTTTTTCTTTGAATCATTCGAATGAAACACCCAACAAAAAGCTGGCTTGGTCATCCACAGTTTTTGGGTGCCTAGCTCATCCCATCTCTTCTATGGCCAGGCTATCATGGTGGCGCTGGAAGACAAACTGCCAGAGAAAAACAGTTCCGGATTGAATTTTTGCTGGAGACGGGCGTGGAAAAACCCGACATTTGACCAATGGAATGCGTTCCTGCAAAATGATGGTGCATAGTATGCAAAACCCCAGTTTATGAAGGTGCGCGGAAGGTGATGAAAAATGATGATAGTTTGATGTGCCTCTTTACAGACATAAAAAGGTTGAATGTCCTGTCGTTTTAGTAAGGTTGGCCCCATGGTTCCACACGAGGATTCCTGATGGCTGGATGAGCGTCCATAACCAGCTCGTTTGACGTAAACATCAGGGAGCTGCATGCTTTTGACACCATACCCGTGACTATTCAATCATAATTATTCAATCCATGTTTGGGGAAGCCTTTTTCTGTGTATCTTTAGTGGGATATTGAACATGAAAAGGAAGTTTTGGGATTGAAATCAATCCTAGCTTTGGGGTTGAAGGTTCAGTTAATTGAATGCCTGTCCCCAAAATGACATGGACAATCTCACTTCCACCGCTGCGACATGTCCCGCTTCACTCGCCAAGGCGTTTAGCAGCTGCCTCAGCAGTTGCTTTCCTGTGCCGAAGGCCTGATATATTGAGAGAGAGAGAGAGAGAAATTGCTTTGGGTTCTTGATGAATCAATGTTCACAATTTTGTTGTTTCATGATGTTTCATGGATGAATTGATTCCTCACTGTTGTGGATTCACAGGATGGTTATCTATGTATATATTTGTACTTATGCACATCTATACATTTATGTACATTTATCATTTATAACACGATCTATATTCAGATGCGTGAAATGTTGGTGTTCTATACATATATATACATTTGTTGTGATTGTGTATAAATATTATATATATATATTATATGTGCGTGCGTGTGTGTGTGTAACATCTAAATAGATGTAAAACTTCTCTCTTTCTCTTCCTTCTGTCCTCTCCCTTTTTTAAACCTAGTGCAGGGGGCCAGGAACCCATGACTGTCTGTCCTGGCCAACGAAGACCAGACAGCATGGGGGTGAAAACGTACCTGCGATTTTTTGAACTGTTGAACAAGCTGTCGTATTCATTATTTTGCAATCATTGCGTGTGAATGGCGAGGGGCTAAGCCAAGTACCCCAACACCATGATTTTATTTCTCCACGGTTGCCACAATCTGTATTTTCGCCGAAACCATGTCGCCGACAGTATTTGTGATTTCGCCGAGCCACGTCGCCGATTGTATTTTGATTATTTTGCCTTGTCATGTCGCCGATGTATTGTTGGAATCTGGTTTGAACTCTGTTGGACAATATTGGATGTTCTACTTCGGTTTCGAGAAGTACTACAAGAGTCTCTAGCGTAAAACAAATGGTCTAGGCTGGTTTGCACGTTTCAGGATTCAGTTCCTGCCGGATCATATAATGATCCATTCTTGTCTAGTGTGATTCCTATGGTGACTCCGACATGGTGCCATAGGGCCATTTGAGGCAACCCCAGTTGGGGTCAATGTCGACTGACCTGAATTCTGAATTTACACTTTTGAACTAGTAATTCATTTAAGTAAAGTGCAACAGATGGCCTTGCTGTTTTTCAGCCATTTTGAGAACTCCTGCTGCTCCGGATGTCCCAGGGATCCCAGTGATCTGCGCTCTTTCAAGTGAAGCTGCTCTGAACAGCCTGAAACCTCCGTTTTTTGCAGCTATTTTCGAAACTCACCTGACTTCATGGCATGACAAGGAATTAAGGCAGGTTCACGCCTTCCAGGTGTGGTCTCTTTCTTTTGGTTGTCTGGTGAGGTGAAACATGTTGTGCACCTAATTCGTTGGAACTTGAAAGCTGTTATATGCCCTTGTGGCTGACTTGAACACGGGCCTGGAGTGGCACAACGCACGAACTCTAGGTTTAGGAGCTGAATCCTGTTGTTTAACTAATTGTTTTGGTTTTCTTGTCTGTCATCAACTAGTCCCCCATTTGGTCCCTAATTTTCCCCGCGTGCCTCTCCGTAATGCGTCGTGGGGTTGAGGTGTGTGCGCTGTTTTGGTCAGGTCCGTTTCGCCGCGTAGGTTGGTTCCGGAGGTCCGTCTGTTCCCCTCCCCCCCCTGCGCTGTTTTTGGCCGTCTGCCCGTCGTGTGTCCGCTTTTTTCTTCCTCTTGCCTTTCAGGGTTGACCCGGCTCTGGCCGGGTGTGTGTGTGTAACATCTAAATAGATGTAAAACTTCTCTCTTTCTCTTCCTTCTGTCCTCTCCCTTTTTTAAACCTAGTGCAGGGGGCCAGGAACCCATGACTGTCTGTCCTGGCCAACGAAGACCAGACAGCATGGGGGTGAAAACGTACCTGCGATTTTTTGAACTGTTGAACAAGCTGTCGTATTCATTATTTTGCAATCATTGCGTGTGAATGGCGAGGGGCTAAGCCAAGTACCCCAACACCATGATTTTATTTCTCCACGGTTGCCACAATCTGTATTTTCGCCGAAACCATGTCGCCGACAGTATTTGTGATTATTTCGCCGAGCCACGTCGCCGATTGTATTTTGATTATTTTGCCTTGTCATGTCGCCGATGTATTGTTGGAATCTGGTTTGAACTCTGTTGGACAATATTGGATGTTCTACTTCGGTTTCGAGAAGTACTACAAGAGTCTCTAACGTAAAACAAATGGTCTAGGCTGGTTTGCACGTTTCAGGATTCAGTTCCTGCCGGATCATATAATGATCCATTCTTGTCTAGTGTGTGCGTATTTTCCCTCAATGTTCTTCTCAACCATCCACGAATTTGACTACCACCTGGCATGTATCTATATCAAGAGTTTCAAAGACCCTTTAAAAAATGTCCAGTCAAAAAAAATATTTTTGGTGAGTTTTGTTTTTTACACACATTTGTTTTATGTTCCCCACCTGCCAGGTGAGGGTTGTTAGATTTTATGTCAGTTGCCTCCTCCTCCTCCTTCTCCTCCTCCTCCTCCTCCGCCTCCTCCTGCCTCGTCCTCCTCTCCTCCTCTTCGTCCTCCTTGTCATCCTTGTCGTCCTTGTCGTCCTCGTCGTCCTCGTCGTCCTCGTCGTCCTTGCTCAACTGCGACCCGCGATCCACAGTGTTCTCTGCCGGACCTCAACCACCCACGCCCAGTGTTCCCTGCCGGACCTCAACCACGACCATCCACGCCCAGTGTTCCCTGCCGGACCTCAACCGCGAGTATCCATGCCAAGTGTTCCCTGCCGGACCTCAACCACGACCATCCGCGCCCAGTGTTCCCTGCCGGACCTCAACCGCGAGTATCCACGCCAAGTGTTCCCTGCCGGACCTCATGTAGGAAGATAAAATGTCAGATAGAGTGCCAGAAGATTTGCCAGGTAGAATGCCAGAAAATATGCCAGAAGATATGCCAGATAGATATGCCAGAAGATATGCCAGAAGATATGCCAGAAGATATGCCAGAAGATATGTCAGAATAAATGCCAGAAGATATGTCAGATAGAATGCCAGAAGATATGTCAGAATATATGCCAGAAGATATGCCAGATAGAATGCCAGATTGAATGCCAGAAGATATGTCAGATAGAGTGCCAGAAGATATGCCAGATAGAATGCCAGAAGATTTGCCAGATAGAATGCCAGAAGATAGATGCCCATGATATGAAGAATGCAGAAGATAGCCAGATAGAATGCCAAATAGAATGTCAGAAGATATGTCAGATAGAATGCCAGAAGATATGCCAGATAGAGATATGCCAGATAGCCAGAATGTCAGAAAGATATGTCAGATAGAATGCCAGAAGATATGCCAGAAGATATGCCAGATAGAATGCCAAACAGAATGTCAGAAGATATGTCAGATAGAATGCCAGAAGATGTGCCAGTAAGAACATGTATAAATGTCATGGTGGGGATCACACGAAGTAAAGTATTTTTTTTTCACAAATTGTCCAGATCGGGTAGACCTCTATCAAATTTCTACTTCAACACATGTAGCAACTTCATACTTTCAATTTCCGAAATCAGTCAGACGGAACATACCATCGAAACCGAAGCACACGTTGTCAAACAATATGCATGCGTTCTCCACCGGCCGCAGCTACCTCCTAAGCTGCGAACTGTCCCTTCAGCGGGACTGGAGGTAGTCAAAGAGTCACTATGTGTATGCACAGCATCAAAAGTCAGCTTTTCAGATGTGAACCCAGCAAACTGACAATAGCTCTGATAATCTGCATTGTTTGGTTTGTCTGGATCCGGCAATTGTCGGTTCGATCTTGCAAAAAGACAAGCGGAGCCTAAAATCTCCACGTCGTAGCCGTCCATTCCCAGATGCAAAAAAAACATATTTTGAGTATATGGGTTAATTATGGGTTCAATATGGTTTAAATATGGGTTCTCAAAAACAGTTATTTTTTAGTTATATCAGAATATGGGTTTAGTACGGGATAAATATGGGTTTAGTACAGCTTAATACGGCCAAAATATGGGTTTTTTGTGATTTTCCTGGTGCGGACCCCACAATTGTCACCCAAATTGACTACAAAATGCGGTTTTCGATTGAATTCTGATTTTTTTGTACAGTTTTTCGACAATTTTGTTCAAATTTGTTCGCTTTCGGCAATCCAGAATCAGTTTGCTTTTGTTGCCAATGAAAAAGTGCAACAATGTGTCAAATTTCTGCCTCTAGGGGTCGTTCTTGTGGGAAAAAATCTTCCAACGGCTCCAGATTGATTGTGATCATAATTAATTAAAAATACTAATGTTGTCCGATATGTTCCAAGAGCATTGGGCTCTTTCTTGTGAGAACTGCCAGTGAAGGCCAGCGGGATGAAAGTACAATCAACATGAAGGATATTGAGAGGGATAGATCGAAGGCAAATATCAATAAAGGGTTGAAACGTCTAAAGGGATGGATCATGAGATGTCATGACACCAAGTATGAGAAAAACTAGGTTTTTCCCCTAGTCAAAGGGAAAAACAATAATTTTTTGAGAAAAAACATGTTTTCCCATAACTAAAGAAAAACACGTTTTTTGAAAAATACCCGCAAATTTGTGTGTTCTTAACGCGCTAGGCATATTATATATATATATATACATATATATATATATGTGTATGTCTATCCCATGATATCCCTAGTATACCACTGTGTGTTTGTTGCTTAAAACACATTGTTTAAGGCTTTAAACGCACCATTTATCCCAATGTTGATTGTTAAATACAATTTATCCCATCAAATCTTTCATTACATCCCCATCACATGTTGGTTTTATACCACCATTTTTGGTTTATATCCCTTTGAATGGCTGATGCCTCACTCTTCCCCTGTCAGGCCAGATGTGCGACATGCGAAGCTCGCGGCGAAAGGTTCCAGTACATTAGCCGCGACGGCAAAGACCGTGGATGCCAAGGTCTTTAGCCGCTCGGCCGCAGGCAATGCTGCGGACAGCGTTTCCAAAGGAGCAAAGACCAGGGAAGTACCTTCAGAAGGAGCTCTTGGGCATTTTGGGGTACGCCCATGTAATCCTAACTTTCGATGTGTATCTAGGCATGGATTCATGGCACTCATCCCCCAAAAACTCCCAGGTTGACAAGGGGGGTAGTTTATATCAACCCCGGATGACTCCACTCCACTCCATTCATTAATTAGAGCGTTTGCCCTCAAAAGAGCGCAATCAAATACTCAGTACGAAGTTGGTACCCCAAAATGTGTGTAAACTGCTGGTTTATCAGTCCCGGTTTACTAAAATTGGTGCCCCAAAACGTATAAACAGCAATGGAACAATGGTGTGTCATCATTTTCGCAAAATCTCCTCATCCCTCTAATACATTCTACACCCCCTAGTCCTCTATGTGTAAATCTCTACTAAACCATGGCTTCTGGTGTTTATTTTCCCTCCATGGCCAAGACTTTCCAAGGCGATGCCTGGGCACGGCACTTAGCACGGCGCAGGAGTTCTCATGTATTTTTCTCCCATGAACATAGTGGTTTCAATCAATGGGGGTTCCAATAGGGAAAATGATGATAAACATTGATAAAGCATCTAACTTTGTGGAACCCCTATTATTTCGGGAAAGACCCTGAGGAAACTTGGGCTGGAAACTTGTGCCTTATTGGGAGATTTGATATTCTATCTGTGCCCTGAAAGAAAACCGTTCTTTTGTCAAACCGCAATGCCGTGCTCAGTTCGTCAAGACAAATTCATCTCCTTTGTTTGAGGTCGTCAAAAAATATTGACTTTTACCGTGTTCCAACATGGCGTTCAAACCACGAAAGAAGGGAAACACACAACAATGAGGAACAAAAACATCAACATGGGTAGGTCATATTGTATCGACAAACCCGCACTCTCTTCATGTCGTTTTTTTTGCTTGTAACAGTGACAGACATTGATATAAAAAGGGAGTGAAACAGTGACAAAAAGGCCTCCCCCCTCAGCCTTGGAAGCGATAGGACATTCTCTGTTACTGCTTCGTCTTGGGGCCTACAAAGCATGTGTTTTACTGTATAACATATTCATTTACAACTCGCCAATCATGTTTACATATGTTTACATTAGTCACTGTATAGATGTCATTAGTCAGTAATAGTATTAGCCAGTACCGGTACATAGCAATAGTGTGTATACAAAGCAATTAGCCAGTAATAATCATAGATATTGTTTGTCAGAGTGAGTGAACATAGGCAGTCAGTCATTCCTCACCCAGTTACCTATCAGATAGGTAACCATCAGATAGGTAACGAATGGTAACCGACCCCAAAATCATGTGGTAAGATCACCTTGGATCATCCCATCTGATAAATCCAGCGGACGGATCGCCTAAGGAGAAGGCTTTGGACGGCCGGGAAGGCACGGCACCGGCCGGACATGGTGTGTTTTGAGTGGTTTCAATGGATTTCAGGGGAATTCAACAAATCAACAAATAGAGGTTTCAGGGGAGTTCGCGGGATATGGGATTTCATGGGGGTTCATGGGATTTCGAGTCACCAGGCTAGTCCCAACTGTCTATAAAAGGTGATAATAACTTAGCAGGGTATATATCCCATGGGATCTCCCATTTAGACTGCTTTGATCTCCACTCGGGCATTTTTAGACTGTTTATATAGATTGTCCAGTGGGGAGTGGTTTCAGTCACGAGAGAGGATTGCTTCCCAGAATCGGTTTAATAGTTTAATGATTCATGGAACATCTACAGGAAAGGCTTTTAGATATGCGGATAAGAACGCTCTTGTCCTTTAGATTCTCCATGATTTTCCCATGATTCTCCATCCATAGCTTCGTCAGAATGTCCCAATGTCGGAACGCGACCGACCGAGCGCGCCTAGGGAACGTCTTCACCGAGCCTGAGATGTTCATGGAGCCGGGGAGCTGAATGGTGGAAACGGGTGGAAAAGGCTCATGGTTTCTGGGGAAATAAATGAACATGGACAATAATTTCATGGTTTCTGATATATGTAGGAAACTAATATATATATATATATACACATAGGTTTCTAGGTTCATGGTATATTCATGGTTCATGGTAGGATATACCCTCTGGTAAATAAACATAGACCCTGAAAATCACCAATTGTTAGAGGAAACTAATCTTCCAATTCCTATTTGCCAGGGTCTATGTTAATTTACTGGAGGGTAAGAAAATTAACATGAATTGGCTATCAAGAACAGTGATTCTCTCAGAAAAGGAGAGAATAGCAATTCAACCATCAGACATAGTGATTTGACCATAAGAAAATAGGGACTCAAAGCATCAGAAATAGAGATTTAAGCGCCCAACCCATCCCAAAACTAGTAGATCAGTAGCTGGTGCTACAAGCGCCAAAGCCAAACCACCCCTTGGACGGACTCGACTTGTGTGTGTGGGGGGCCTGTTACAGGGAGGCTCATCCAAAGATGAAGAAATGGTGGCTTCTATGGGCTTCTGAAAATAGGCTATCCCCCAAACCATGGGTATCAAATGGTCTAATTTTGGATGACTTTTGGGGGTACCCCCCATTTTAGGAAACTTCCAAATAGTTTTGAGCTAATAGCCAGATGTTGAAACCCATTGATGACAATAGTATACAAGAGTAAGATTGGCAGTTGGAGCCAGGCATGATGATGAGATGTGAGTTCTCAATCTTTTGCTCCGCTGCGGCTGCCAGCTGCCGACAGGGTGCTGGAGCATCTTAATCAGACTCATTCCCAGAAGGCGGCATGGGGCTGTGGGCTGCGGGGGTATCCTTGCCCAGGATCCATTGTGTCTTTCTTGTGTGAGTCAAGTTTTACGGGCTGTCCATCCTGGTCCCTTAGGTTGCCAAAGGCGCTTGCGTGCTGGAAGTTTGTTCCACAATAATATAATAATCCTCTCTCCCTATTACTAAACCCCCTCCCCTCCCACATGGAAAACACGGTTATCTATTTTTATTATTGAGGGGTATTTTGTATTAGGGCGCCCCTAATATTCTGATTTCAAATTTGATTAAATTCCTTACTAAAATCTATAAAACATATTGCCAAACACTGGATTTCGAAGCTTCCCCCTAATATTCCAATGAAAACATTAATGATAAAAATTAAATAACAAATAAAACTTGTGAGATGGGACCCGAATAAAGAACATACAGGTGGCAATCTATTTTTATTAATACGGGTTGAACCCATTGTTTCACCATCCTGTTCTCCTATTGATTCTACATTACCACAATTAAGAATCCACTTGTGCCCAACCAAAAAAAGTGGAAGTGCCATACCATTTTTTATTCGGGGGAGTTTTACTAATAGGAAGAGGGGATTATATATTTATATACACAATTAATTGATGGAGTTTCCCGGGAATGTAAAATATCCATGGGCACCATATATTATAGGATATAGTATTATGATATTATAGGCCAAGATCTGTAAGTTGGCCATGTTCCATAGCTGTATTAAATTACCGGAGGGTACATTTGCCGCTGCAGGGCCCAGTGTACTTCGAGCGTGTGAGTCGGGTTTGGGCCTGGGAAAAGCTTGGGAACATGGTGATGGAATGGTGATCTAATGGGAAATCCAGGGGAAGTGATGATTTAACCAACAATAATGGTGATTCATGGTGATATAACGTGAAAATGATGGGAATAGAATGGGAATAAATGGGAATACTTGGAAGATCATCCCACTTAGTAAGAGCTCAAAACACACTTACTTATAGATGGGATAGGCTATACCTGAGACTTACGATCACCACGCCTATTAACCAGTCACTATTTGTGGGGTGATCCTCCAAGTAAAACTAGCCAGGGTTTTCAACCATTATATTCCCATTCTATTCCTAGTATATTCCCATATTTATCCAATTGGAAAGGTCTAACATTTCTTCAAAGACATTTATTCAAAGCCAAATAGGAAATGGCTGGGATTGCACACTTCCAGGTTTGGGTTTCTTTGTTTCCAACTGGGTGTGCCTGAAACTGGGGGATAGCCCGAAACAGCCATTTCCATAGGGAACATTGTGATTAACCAGTCAATTTAGGGGCAATTATCATTTTTTTCAGATACACCTGCATATATAATGCATATACATACCGGGTCAACCTTTGTATGATCATTGGTACTTTAATCTCTTGTGCTATCAGCGATAAAATGTACTAACCAGCTAAAAAATAGTTCTTTTGACTAAGATTCACCTTGCATCTCTCTCTCTCTCTATATATATACGTACATATATATATATATATGAGTTGTAATGTGTGACCGAGCTGCTTGCACAACATCTTGGTTTGGTAGCTTGCTGGCTAGCTTTTCTGAGCCATCGGCGCAGAGATATCCAGGTTAAAACATGTTAAAACCTCAGAACTGGTGCAAAGAGAGAGTCTGCAGGAACCCCCTTGAAACGGGGCTTCAAAGCAATTCTTTCCTGTTTTAGCTGTGCCTTGAGCCTTGAACCAACCCATATCATGTTGTTGGTTGTATATCCCACTGTATATCCCAGTATATACCCATTGTATCCCCATTACAAGATGAAAAACACAAATCCCCAGCATTACCGATAACAAAAACAGCATGGATTGCATTTGTTCGCTATGCTGTTTGCGCAGCCGGCACCAAGGCTGCGGATGAAAAGAAGGACATCGTGCCACTTGTGCTGGGGGTTGACGCCGATCCGGGGTGTGGTGATGGCGGAAGAGGGACGGCTGTCGCTCCCAAATCACAGATGTTCGCCCTTATTAAGGAGGTCACCTTTGGAGGTTGCTTGAAGCCACATGATGAACCCACAAGTAGTCATCTTTCATGGGAAGACCATCACAATTTCAGACCCTTGGGGGTGCAGTTGAGGTTAGAATTGGGTACAACCATGGCTACAAACCCTATAACTATTGTTATATACCGGCTTATAACTGGAACTGCACTTGAAAACTATTGCCTTCAAAGATTTAAGAGGCTGATATAGATTTGACCATCCCACTTTTGTTCGTTTCATGCTGTCACAACAAGAACACATCTCCCATTTATAGATGGTTGTAGCTCCATCATGGTACACGTGTGTTTGTCTGAAAAAAACTAATTCCATTGGTTAATTAGCATTTTCCCAGTTATTTATCAGTGTCTGAGGTTAACCAGTGGATAGCTATCTTCAATAATAGGGATTTTTATCGACAACAGTATGGCTGTCTCCCCAAATCCACTGGTTAATCATGATAATTTGCTCATTTCCCTGATGATCTGATAATATCACTGTTTATATCTGTTTATTGAATAGCCATCAATGTATCTCTCATGTCCGGAGACTTTTCCATGCCTGGCAACTTTCCACCCGAGCCACGAGCTGCAGGTTGTACGTCCCTGGCATCGATTTCTCGGGTGCTTTCGCGGCCGCTTGGTAAAAAGGGCCGCAGGGATTTTGACATGCTGGGTTTTTACCAAAAAGAAAGAAGTGATTTTACCATGGAAAATGGCCCACTAACACGGCCTTTTTTTACCACTACACATAGTGATTTTACCATTCAACATGGTGATTTCACGATGAAAAATTGGGAGTTAAGCGACAAGAACTGGTTGCAGGGTGGGGCCACCAAACAACAGCTAGGTTGGTTTACAACTATGCGTTTATGGTAGATGTAACTGTCGTTTTCATGGGGGTTTGGCAAACGATAACAATCACAAGTAGGAAGCCACCTTGAAGCAACCAATGATTGTATCTCACCAAGAAAAAACATGGGAAATGTATGTCAGTAAACTGGTGATGGTGAAGGGTAGGTTGTACATTATTTGTGTTATTTGGCTAATTATGGTAACCTCTCCAAGCCCTTTATTTCTTGAGGTTTTGGGAACCAGCCCAAAATGGACTTTTGATTCAGAAATTGCGGTCATTTGCGTCGTTTCACTTACACTTGGATAGTTTGCAGACCATGTTTTGCTTTCACACATCATACCTTATTATTAGCCCCCTATGTTTTTGCCCCATATATATAGGATATAGGTATATATATATCATTTACATCATATCATATTGCACATCATCTACATCATATTATGCAACCAGTTCTTGGCCCCATATTTGATGGGTTGCTCAGTGGCCATTTCCGCTGCTCAGCAAGGCGCCTCAATTCCGCGGCCTTGCTGCTGACTTCGAGCGACTCGGCGGATGTCGAGAGCAGAGCCACCATTCTTCGGTGGATGGTGATTTAATGGAGTTACAACGGAGAATGGGCATATACATACATGCATGCATGCATACATACATACAGACATACAGACATACAGCTATACAGCTATACAGCTATACAAACATACAGACATACAGACATACAGACATACAGACATTCAGACATAGATAGATAGATAGATAGATAAATAGATAGATAGATAGAAGGATAGATGGATAGATGGATAGATGGATAGATGGATAGATGGATGGATGGATGGATGGATGAATGGATAGATGGATAGATAGATAGATAGATACATACATACATACAGTGTACATATCAATGTATATGTACACTGTATCCAAAAAAATATGGAGAAGTGAACAATGTGGAAGTTTGCAGCAAAGACCGTATCATCTACACCATCCTGGAAACACTGTTCTTTCTTTTTGGAGCTTACTATATTATATGACAGTGTGGTTGGTGGTCTCAAATACATGGTGATGTTCAACCTTAAAAATTGGATGATGATGATGATGATGATGATGATCCCAATTGACGAGCATATGTTTCAGATAGGTGAAAAAACCACCAAGGCAGTCCTGTTTGGATTTATATAATATGGAATCGTAGTTGGACCATGTTATCCCTGCATCAAAGAAGGAACCCCCACAGAAGACAAGCCAGATGCTGGTGGGAGGGTCTCTCTAAAATCCCTATTTAAGGCCAGTTAAATGAAACTTAATGTTCACCAGATTGTACTGCGATGTGCATGACGCTTAGGATCCATTGTTATTGTCTATCATAAATCTATATTAACCTTATATTTTTGTGTATACATATATATATATGTATCTAAACACGGATTTTTATACCGCAGTGATATAGATCTATTGTTTTCACCCGCGGATCCTAAAGGGCCTATAATCCTATTGAACCCGATTTAAACTCATTCAACCTCATTGAGCCCCATGTTAATTGCATGGTCATCACTATTTTTTTTGGTTAAATCACCCTTTTTGATGCTTAAATCCCTATGTTTGTTCGTTCAAATGGGCCACCTCCAGTCGTACCATGTACAAAAAATACAATAGATGTCAAATGTGCAAGCATTATCACGTATGTGTAATTCATTACTATTAGTTAGTTACTATGTATCTATAATCCATTACTATTAGACTCTATTAGTTACATATTTCCAACTATGTAATTTGATTTCCAACTTACTGCAGCCAGCCATGGGCTTCTCTAAGGCTTTGGCGCTGCTGGGTGAAGCCCGGCTGTCGCGAGCCGGGCGCTCAGAGTCTCAGATGGGGGAAATCCAACGAGATTTTAATTTCCAACCGTATTTGGGTTGAAAATCATTGAATTGGTGGTTTCAAACATGTTGCTCAAATACACATATATATATATATAAATGATAATAACAGTAATAATATTGATGATAATGATAATGAAATATATATATATATATGTATTTAAATATGCATACATATATACATATATATATATATATATGTGTGTGTTATTTTTGGTTTGTGAAAGAAAGAACCGCACAAACGTGAATATAGCAGAGAATATAGTGACTATTTGGATATAACTTATGATATAGCTAAGTATATATACGTATATATTTATTATATATGTATGTTATTGGATTAGTAGTAATTAATAGTTTACCTTGTGTTCTACACTCCTGTGACTTTACTGTTTGCCATGGAAGCTATGGCCCGCTTAGTTCGATGATTTACCCGTTAAACATGATGATCTGTTTCCTGGGCGCATACGGGTAGTTGCCACCAGAGGGTAAACACTCAAGTCCTTACTTAGATCACTTAGGATATAAACCACGAAGTATCCCAACAAACTATCCATGTATTGTGGGCTTATTATCTTCAATGATAGTTATTAAACAACTATCCCAATGTTTAGCCCACATTATATGGATTATATTGTATCCCCAATTATAACCCATATATATATATATAATTATGGAATAATGATAGTTGTTTATTGCTATATAATATAATGTATTATAAACCAAATATCATCAAATATCCCAATGCCATAAACAACTATAATTCGGAGATGCTAAACATCCCCCCATGACAATGCTGATGACTTTGGATCCAGAGTGGTCCAGTGAGGTCTTTCTACGAGATGGCAAGGCAGCTGGAGGCCACCGAAGGGCCGAAGGGACTCAACTCCTCTATAGATGTAGAAACTGAACGAATTGTGCACATCTTTATGCACATTTATATGTGCATAAAGATTATGTATGAATATATGTATACATTACCGTGCTGTTTTTTTTGCTTTGTTTTTGCGCGACCTGACGCCCTGAGATTTCAACGCTTATCTACTGGCCAGGCATGGTTGGAGAGTCACGAAAATCGCAAGGCCTGCCAAGATCTATGGACGTGTTTCACTTGGGAGGGGTTTCTGGATGACTTGGAAAATTGCTGGTATATGTAGAGGGATGTTTTTGGGTTATAATTCAATGGGACAATATAGTGGGAATGTTTGGATAACACCAGCAAAATGGGGGATTTAAGCAATAAAATTGGTGGTATCATGGGATTTTTTGCCAGATGTTGGTGTGGGACACATTTGGGATCATGGAATGATGCGAGATCGAGATGTTGGGTGAATCATCCCCAAATGGCCCTATGATAACAGCTATTTTCAGGGTAGTGAGTTATTGTAATTCAGCCGCCAGACTCATGACTGAACACAATTTTACTGGATAGTTTACAGCTATCCAATCCTTTTTGCGTTTATCTAAGTTGTTTTTTAGTGCAGGAAACATCAGGAAACCAGCTTTCCCATCAAATACACTACTGGCGCTTCCTGCCTTCCCTTATTTCCACCGCTTCCAGTGATGCTGACCTTTGGGTCCTTTGAGCCTTTCCATTGCCTCAATGCGACATCCCTACACACCAGGGCTCACTTCAAAACCTGCGTTGGTATTGCCACAAGATCTACTGTTTGCTAGATCACGATCGTTTGAAATATGTGAGAGGGGAAGGTGATTTTAGTGGTGCAAAAATAGTTAACGCATGTTCTCAAAGTTTTTGTCTATGGAGGGGGGCACTCGCAGAACATTCCATATTCTGTAATTCATTATAGTTCCTAGTAATTCCATTTGATTCCTTCTAACTATCCATTAATGTGGTTTCATTTTGTGTTTTGTTTGAGACTCTTTGATGTTTGTTCTGTTTTAAGATTGTGTTTCGTTTGATGTGTTTGGAACCGTTTGGAGTTTTTTGGATTTTTGTACCGTTTTGCAACATTTGGAACTTGTTTTTTTGAACTTGTTGTTTCTCTTTGAGTTGTTTGGATTTGTTGGAACTTCTTGGATCGTTTTGGATTAGTATTTTTGTAAAAATGAACGTGTTTTTCAGTTGTTTCACATGTTTAAAGTTTTTTGGGAGAGTGTAAGGGTAACCCTATTTTAAGAGGAACCCAGGGCTCTTTAATGAAACTTATTCAAGGGTAAGTGTGTACAACTGGTACGGAAACCGGACCGAGAGTGACATGAGCAGGTGGTGCTTCTGGGCGAGTCCTTCGGAGGTCTCTTGTCTTTGGCCGTGGCCTTGCGTTTGGGCCGAGAGAAACTGAAAGGCGCGGCCACTGAGCCACACATTCAGATGGTGCGCTATGTTTTGCCATGACATTTTCATGGTTTAACTCGGTTCAATCATCAAAAATGGCGATGTAACCAGCAGAGATTGCGTTTTTCACCAGAAAAAAAGTGGTTTAACCATCAAAAATGATAGCATAAGATGTGATGGGATAGACTTGGATGTATAACTTATAAGACCAGCAATTGGTATCTTTATTTTGGTGGGACTATTTGGTGTAAACCAAACCCATCGAGCCCCAAAAAGGTTAACAGTCACGGTGTATTCCTATAATTCCCCATCCAGCTGTTCAATTTCGTCTATTTTTGGCGATGGCTATCTCCCCATTCTGGCTGGCTAAATCCCAAGTATAGATGCCTAAAGCATCACTGGTTGGTGGTTTCAAACATCTATTATTTTCCATAATATATGGGATAATCCTTACCATTGACTAATGTTTTTTCAGAGGGGTAGGTCAACCGCCAACCAGGTGGGGTTGGACTATTGTTTCATCCTGCAATGAGAAGAAGGACGAATCTACGGTCGAACCCATCCTGCTAGTTGATCTATGTCGATCTCACGTTTCTTCAGATGTTGGCTCAAGCGCCAGCTGGATCCCCGATGGGTGATCCACAAGTGTCTCTAGTTTGTGGCTCGGCACATGTGGAGACACCAAGTAGATAGCCTCTGATATTGTTTATATACATAACTATCATAACTGTTGAAAATTACATAAAATTACCATGTCTAATAGGTAAATCAACTATAAATGGGTCATTTTCAATAGCTATGTTTGTTTACCAGAGGGTAAGATGGAACCTGCGGATTCTTTTCCTTGGTGCTGTCAAGGTTCTACGTGAAGCTTATATAGGAGGTGTAAATTGATTTGTGATTGTTTGCAATGATAATTTTGGTGCCATGACCGAACACAAAGGGATAGTGTTGTAAACCAACTGGTAAAAGGTGGGTTGACAATAGGAGCGTTGATGTTTTAAAATTTGGTAGGGGAACATGTATATCTACCACTGCAAGAAAACATCAGAGGGGTAAAAGGTTGCATGACTGCATGACTCAGTCAGGAGAGGTATATGGAATGTCTCATAGCCTGCTATCGAGATTGAATTGATGTTTGTTCTTCCGATGTGGCCCGAGTGGCTAAAACACCGAGGTAGCTTGACGAGTTGATGTTACAGCGAATTGCTATATGTTGCTACACAGTACACTTATCACTTATCATTGATCATTCATAAATTTGTTATGGAATTTGGAGTATTAATGAAATTGAGTGATAAATCATCGGGCAGATTTGGTGCCCAACTCGTTTTGTTACCGCACCGCACCAACGACCCAGGTAACTCTTAGGCCATTTTCGAACGTCATGTGCCGGGGCTCAGTTGGGTGAGCTGAGCTGGCACGCACGGCTGTTGCAGATCCACTGGTCACAACCATACGGGGTGGTGCCCCATCGTTTATTTACCCTCTGGTTATGTCAAAATAGCTATTGAAAATTGCCATTTATAGTGGAATTTCCCATTAATAATGCTACGTTAGTTTATCAGAGGGTATGTTAATTTGGGTTTTTTGTGATTACAAGCTAGCTACAATGATGGTATCTATAGTTCGATGGATTGATTTCACCAAGAAACAGAACGTTCTGGGGCACCGCTTTCTACACAATCATATCTGTATGTATGAATATCATATAATATCATATAATATCCCCATTGCCAATAAAACACCAGCATTTTGGTTGGTTAAATCATGTTAAATCCATTGAATCCTAAAGTTTTGATGGTGAAACTTATCATTTTTCAGCTCCTTTCCAGGTTCGATCTCCGTTGGGCACTCTGTGCCTTGGTAGATCCCCTCCTCGCCATGGACGACGCAGGACAGAGATTGGAGTTGAAAAATGCCAGCAAGAAAAGAAGGTTCAGTGGCAACCGATCTGCACATGTTTTCGATTGTTTTAGTGTATATATATATTATATATTATATATACTATATGTGTGCGTATATGTGTATATGTAGGTACAATCATGTTGATTTCTTTAAACTTATTTTGGTAATTTATTCATTGATTACATAACACATCTATGCAACAACATGTGCAACTTCACCCAGCCAGATAATACATGTCTATATACCCATGTGTGTAAATGTATGTAAATGGAGGCACGTTGATAAACGCCCTTGGCGTTGTGTTACATGTCGGCAAAAAATCCACTACATCATTCGGGTGTGGGGGTAATAACGTTCTTGTCGTGTGCGTGCTGAGAGAGAGAGAGAGAGAGAGACAGAGAGAGAGAGAGAGAGAAATATATATATATATATGTATATTCAACTCTCTTTTTCTTGGAACTTCTAAGACGCTCTTGGCTCGGTGGTGGTGGCCCCGCTGCCCGTTGTTATTCATCCTCCTGGCAGTCCTGCTGCAATAGAATGTTTGACAGATTTGAACGCTACCAACCTGCATACCGATCTGAGCAACGTTTGCAAGACTCAGCTTCACTCTGATGGTGCAAAGAGCTGGCCAAAGTGATGTTCCAAGCACACACCACAAGTTGAACAATTTCATGTCTCACATAACAGAAATGAGTTTGCAAAGAAGGTGAGATCGAGGAAGAAGCCTGAGGTAGTGGTCGCTGGCACTCAATCTGTCGACCGTTGGTGGCAAAGTCTTGAAAAGGCATTGCCTCAGTCTCTTCACGTCAAAGACATACTTGGAGATGGCATTGCTGAAAAGCTAATGTCATGCGGCGAGGCAATTTGGGCAACCATGCCAACTTGACCAAAGAGTTGGGAAAGATCATGTGACTTGGAACGAAGCGGGCGAGCAAATGAAAATACTGCTTACTTCTGACCGAAATGGAGACTGGGAGAGTCAAGAACAAAAAACCTGCAAATACCAATGCAGTGAGAAACGAACATGCGTGTGCTAAAACCCACAGCGGTCCGCTACTTTGATTTTCACATAAAACACAAAGTGCTGTAAATGTTGCAAAATTTTGAATATGGAGAAATGCCTAAATCAACAAATAACCCAGGGGCAAATATCCGCGTGTGACCATGTAAATCAGCAACATGTTATCATTTACGCTAACATTTTCTTGCGCCTACTGAATTGATTAGGATTAGGCCATGGGATGGCCCAAAGATTATCTCAGGGTCAACACTGATCTTCAAATTTCCGTGCTTGCGACAGATATAGTTTTGGGATGGGTTAGAACCAAAATATACCAAAATACCCTGACGATGTTTCTCGGCAAAAATGCGCCGTGGTTAGTTCTGGGGTCTTTATCGCCAAACAGTGTTTTGTTTTTTTTGTTGTTGGCGGGCTTTAGACATGTACCAAAAGATGCTATCAATTGTCAATCCCCATAGAAATGTGTCAAGGCAAGAACAAAAGATACATGATGTGTTTATACATATGTGCACACACATGTGTATATATGTATGTATATATATATACGTGTGCGTGTGCGCGTTTGTGTGTGTATTCACATTTGCAGTAGCTGCGTTTGTTTGATGAACAAACCTATACAAACCTCATGTGCTTCCTGCATTTTTTCCAGACTGTATTTGACCAAATTCAGTTTTTTACGATGGGGTCGTGGTTGAACCAAGTTCGCCCAGAGGACGAACGTCCCACATCGCTTTGATGAAACTTGGATAAACTTGGCATCCAACCTGCGCGGCGCTCGGGGTTAGAGGAAGCTGAACATCCGCCAAAACAAGACATGGCTATGAGTCAAAACCCTGGTAATTACCCTAGTTATCCTATATTATAATAGCTGGTTACATCATGGATGTCTATTCCCCAAGTATGCCAATAATTAATAGGTCTTGACCCATCCCCGCATTGTTTATGAACCTGTTTGGTGGGGTATCTATAGGTTTACACATGGAACCAGGAACCAATAAACCGTCATTTTAAGATATTTCCTGACCAAAAACTTTTATGTGGACGAGAATTGCGCTGGAATCATTTTTGAGGTGATGATAGAGGTCACGTTTTTTTTCAGATCAGACCCGTGGATTCCTGCACTGGGTCAAGGGAGGGTTTGCAAATTCTTTGTTTCACAGTAAGAACACATGTTTCAACGTAATGATTTTGAACAATATTCAGGATTTGGCAAAACATGTTTCAAAAAATAACCCCCCATGATCATAATCTTGTCGGGGTGTTTTGAACCAACCGGGTGACAATTTTCCATCGGCCACATTCCACAGCAAATCGGCGAAGCGCCAAGTCATGGGATATTAATTTGGCTTAATACTGTACGGATAGAGTTGTGGGATGATAACCTATTATATATGATCATAGACGATCTATAACAGGATGTGAGTTTTAATATACTATATCATTATATCACACATATATATATATCATATATCAATGGCTTGTAGTCATGGGGCGTTCTAGAACTAATTATGGTATAGTATAGATGGCCCATTGATAGATGAGTTTTACTCAATTCAAAACGGCAATTTTCTATAGGAAACTGTTAGTCTATCAGAGTCTACTTTGTGTTATGTTGTGCTTCTGATGTTCAACATGTCCATAAGTGGCTGGCTACTTCCATCAAAAGAAGCCAGCGGTTCCTGGAACCATCTGCTGGGACTTTGATGTTATCTTTGATCATATACATGTAATGGTGAGTTTACAGGTCAATTTTCAGATTAATCATATCTTCTCTACTTGGCAATGCACGATTCTTGTGCCTGAGGAGACAAGAGCAGCCGATGGGTGGACTGCCCACATTTCCAGCCACTTGCCTTGGTTCAGAACATTGGCTCTGCTGTACCGGGTAGTCATCAAATGGCCCAAAGTTTAAGGGTGCGGAACCCGCCAACAGAATTAGGAGGCGGATGAAACTTGAAATGGCAGGTGGAATTCAGAAAAGGCTTGTGTTCCAAGGCAAAATCAGCTCGGGACCCTTCTGCCTGGGTTGCAAAACTCAGAAGTTTTGCTCAGATCTTGGGGATGACGTGGCAAGGTGA